TAGGGCAATTTAATCCTGCCTTAAGCCCCATTGGTTTCAATGGGCACTGACTTCTACTAAAGCTTTCTTCGGGCATGAGCCCAATATGCAACTAAACACAGGAGAGGGGGTGATGGGGGTGAACCTGATAGCTGCAACCACCTCCTGCCCCCATTTTCATCACCTTCTAACCTGGGAAAGTTGCTCATCTGCTGTGAAGAGCCTTTTGTCCCTGTGGAGATTCCCTGTATATTTCGGAACCCTGGTTTTCCAAGAGGCTCCCCGGTGTCACCTCTCATGGGTTGTCAGATGACAACAATGAGGACGGACAGGGGTAGAGCAACTGGGCTCATCTCTGCTCTCCTACCATTGGCATTGTGTACCCGAGAAAAGGCTTAACTCTGAGTACAATCCAGCAGCAGCTGGGATTGGTAGGGTAGAAAGCAGGGGAACCCAACAGTAGAGCCAATGAAAAGGCTCATTCTAATTTTGTACCCAACCTCCACTCTGCTGAGTTCTACAAGGGCAACATCTGACTAAGGATGAGGAAGATCTCTCTCTTGGCTGACTGTAAATAAGTAGGCAGCCGATGAGGGATGGCTGAGGTTTGTGGGGCAGTGTCCCATCTGCCCTAATGGACTTGCCTCCACTGTTGCAATCCTGCAATGTCTACTCAGCTATAAGGTCGACTTAGGCTACACATTTAAAGCACCATGATGGCACTTTAAACATTCATGGCTTTCCCCAGAGAATTCTGGGAGCTGTAGTTTGTTAAGGGTGCTGAGAATTGTTAGGAGGCCTCTATTCCCCTCACAGAACTACAATTTCCAGAGTTCCCCGTGTAAAGGGATTGATTATTAAACCACCCTGGGAATTGTAGCTCTGGTAGGGGGATAGCGATCTAATAACTCTCAGCAGCTGTAAAAAACCCCACAGCATCCAGAATTCTTTGTGGGGAAACATGACTGTTTAAAATAGTATAGTGCTTTAAATGTATGGTGTGATTGTGGCCTAAATTCAATTAGACTTTCTCCCAGGTAAGTGGAGCCTTTCTTACTGCACCTATATTTAATATCATTTTATTTCAAGGGTTGGCACAGGAGAAACAGGTCTTGAGATTTCTTATTTTGGTTGTCACTGCAACCTTCAACAGCACAGAGGTGATTTTTCTTACCAGCACATCAAAATGGGTATTTGTTAAAAGGTCTTAATTGACTAAGCACATCTGTTCACCTTTATTGCACCTGTGCCTGCACCTGTCTTTGTATCTTAAAACACAGACATTGTCATTCACTTTCCACGTGCAAAGGAAGGCTGGCACAAAATAATTTCTTCACAGAGTGACTTAGAAAACTGAAGCCTGACAGATGTAACCCAACCAAGAACGAGGTCTGCAACAGAGACAGGCATCTTTCTGGGGTCCAAGCTTCAAAAGACTGCCATCATTTATTTATGACTTTGCTTGTTATTCAAAGTATAAGATATATTTTTTTATTCCCCTGCCAAGATGGGTAGTGAAAAATACTAATTAATTTAAGGGAATAACATATGTTGTTGTTGTTTTTAAAAAACCATTATGAGCCATCATAGCCATAACATAATGAGCTACTGGCTAATTTTTCTTTCTCAAGAGAACCTGGATAAATTCTACAGAACCTCCCACACACTTCACATTTTCCTTTGACCCGACACTGACAGAATGTGGCTTGCTGTCTCCCTCTCTCACATGGTTGAGGAACCTGTGGTGCTCTGGAGGTTGTTGGACTCCAATTCCCATCAGCCCCAGCCAACATGATCTGTGGTCAGGGATGATGGGAGATGGAGTCTGATATCCTCTTGAGAACCATGGGTTTCCCATCCTGCTCTTCTTGCCAAGTTAGACTGCGATCCTATATGCAATTCAGCAGGAGAAATCCCCATTGAATTCAGTTTACTTCTGAGTAAACACGTGTAGAATTGCGATGCTAAGCAACAGTGACTCATAACACTTTCTGGGGCTTCTCTATTCTCCACAAAATACACAGAATTCACCCACACCATACATTTGAAGTACATGGGTTCCTGCAAAGAATCCTGGGAACTGTAATTTGCTATGGGTGCTGGGAATTGTAGCTCTGTGAGGGGTAAGCTCCCAGGCTTCCTTGGGGAAAGCCATGTGCTTTAGAAATATGGTGCAGGTGTGCCAATTCTCGGCCTCTTCGCTATTTCCTTGAATATTAGAGAGCCCCATAAGTACCCAGTTACCTGGCAGTAACTGCAGAACAGACATTTTAGGGAAGAAGAAGAAGAGTTTGGATTTAATATCCCGCCTTTCACTCCCTTTAAGGAGTCTCAAAGCGGCTAACATTCTCCTTTCCCTTCCTCCCCCACAACAAACAATCTGTGAGGTGAGTGGGGCTGAGAGACTTCAGAGAAGTGTGACTAGCCCAAGGTCACCCAGCAGCTGCGTGTGGAGGAGCGGAGACGCAAACCCGGTTCCCCAGATTACGAGTCTACCGCTCTTAACCACTACACCACACTGGAAGGACTGTCAATCTTATTTTCCCCTTTTGTGTTTTCGGTTCCTTCGCCCACCCCCCATATTTCATCTTCTACTTTATTTAGGATGTGTGTGCAATGATGTTGGGGAGAGTTTCTCCGAATAGCGGGCCTTACCTTAGGAAAGATGAGGCAGCGTGTCTTGGGTTCCAGATGTGTGTGTGCATACACACCATAAGAGGGCAGCAAACTGTTAGTTATTTCTTAAGTTTTGTTTTGACAGCTGCATCCCACCCTGAATATAAGTCACCCCACTTTCACCCCACAAGTACTCTGTGTGGTAACAAGACTAAACAATAACCACCCAATTTAAACACATGCACCACTTTTTCCATAAAAAGGATAGGGATTGTTTTCTGTCCTGTATTCATGAATTAGTTCTCATGTACAAAAGGTGACAGGGACGTGGGTGGTGCTGTGGGTTAAACCAGAGCCAAGGACTTGCCAACCAGAAGGTCGGCGGTTTGAATCCCCACGATGGGGTGAGCTCCCGTTGCTCGGTCCCTGCTCCTGCCAACCTAGCAGTTCAAAAGAACATCAAAGTGCAAGTAGATAAATAGGAACCGCTCTGGCGGGAAGGTAAACGGTGTTTCCATGCGTTGCTCTGGTTCACCAGAAAGCGGCTTAGTCATGCTGGCCACATGACCCGGAAGCTGTACGCTGGCTCCCTCAGCCAATAAAGCGAGATGAGTGCCGCAACCCCAGAGTCGGTCACGACTGGACCTAATGGTCAGGGGTCCCTTTACTTTTACTTTACAAAAGGTGACAACTGTTCAGATTTACAAACACAGGGCTGGATCCTAATGATTTCTGTATCAAACTGTAGCTTGCTCTAGTCACGCTGTTTACAAGGAAGGGGGTTGCCAAAATAATCACTGCCTCTGCCTTCTCCAGCCTGGTGCCCTCCAGATGTTTTGGAGTCCCAGACTACAACTCCCACCTTCCCCACACAACCCACTGGTGGAAGTTGTAACCCCAAGGATCTGAAGGGCACCAGGTTGGAAAAAGCTGACCTAGCAATGCAGGAATCTCAACATACGGTTACCCATCCAATTTGAAACCATACCAGACCCTGCTTAGCTTTGCAATGTGCCAATAGTTTTACTGCTGCACCACCAGAAGGAAGCCCATAGGTTCCCCATCCTTGTTCTATAGCAGGTTTTCCTTGGCTAGCCTGATGTTGTTGAACTACAACTCCCAGCATCCTAAGCCATTGGTCATGCTTAATGGGGCTGGTGGGAGTTGTGGTTCAGCAACATCTGGAAGGCCAGAGGTTGCTGACATGTGTTTTGTAGCAAGTGAGATTGTGAATACAGGCTGATTAGGGACGCGGGTGGCACTGTGGGTTAAACCACAGAGCCTAGGACTTGCTGATCAGAAGGTCGGCGGTTTGAATCCCCACGACGGGGTGACCTCCCGTTGCTCGGTCCTTGCTCCTGCCAGCCTAGCAGTTCAAAAGCACGTCAAAGTGCAAGTAGATAAATAGGTACCACTCCAGCGGGAAGGTAAACGGCGTTTCCGTGCGCTGCTCTGGTTCGCCAGAAGTGGATTAGTCATGCTGGTCACATGAGCCGGAAGCTGTACGCCGGCTCCCACAGCCAATAAAGCGAGATGAGCGCCGCAACCCCAGAGTCGGTCACGACTGGACCTAATGGTCAGGGGTCCCTTTACCCTTTACCTTTTTAAGCTCCAAGAGGGGTGTGAAACACCATAACTTGCTGATCTGCATCTCTTAAAGCAACAGACAGGAGCTCTGGGCACAGTTTCCCCATCTTGAGTGCCATCACTTACATCAGCAAGATCTGACTATCCTGGAGATTAAGCTTCACCACGAACCTCTTCCTCCTGACATGATTTAAACATTCCACTTACTTAATGCAGAAATTTACAGATCTGTTAAATTGCTATTTGCAGTTGTAATTTAAAGGTTCACTGCTACAGCCATTAGAAACCAGAAGCTTTGGCTTTTCATGCAGATTCAAAGCTATGATTACAGGGGCACAGAGGGCATTTGCTAATGTGCCCATTCCCAGAATAACTATAAAACATGTGAATTGGGCCAAGACCTGTAATGAGGACAAATAAATTCTAAGGGAGGGGGGTAATAATCTAGTTCAGTACTCTTTATTTCAGTGTTCAGGCTGTGAGTGCCATAGCTTATATAGCCAAATAGGCACCAGAAACACAAAAGTGGGAGATATCATCAAGCATACGGGAAACCACAAAATCTGCAGAACTGCAATGATGAAATCTCTCCCCCCCCCAAAAAAAAAAACCTTAGGAAAAATCCTTAAGGGGAGTAGGTGACTTCTCCCTGCCCAAAACCCAGTGAGGACTGTAGGCGCAAATGTTGACTTGTTTTTCGGAAGTGGGAATGGAATGGAGTAACCTGGAAATGGACACACGGGCTGACTGGCTGGCACAGTGAAGAGCAGCACTCTGCACTGAAGCATTTTGTTACTGAGTGACTCTTGGACCAAGCGGAGAGCCACACAGGAACCCACCCTGATAAGTGGCTGGGTTTGTTTGTTTATTCATTTATTTGCAAAAATAATTCTGTACTGCCATCTAATGCAAAATACTGAGGCTGAGTACAACAAAATATACAAATACAATAAAACATTTTTAAAAAAATACAACAAAAGCAATACAAAGTAATCATTAAAATAGCTGGCTAACTTTGATGGGGGGAGGGAATAAACAGAATAGGCCTGTTGACATAAAAAGCGTATTCACGAGATTCCTGAAAGTTAATGGAGAGGATGCCTGACAAATTTCTGGTGGAAGAGTGTTCCCTAGGATCTAAATCTTCAATTTCCAGTTGAGGCCAGCGAGGCCTCTGTAACATGGGGGACAACTAGCAATACTGCTCCACATGATCTCAGTGATTGAACTGGAATACAAGGGCTCAGACTGTCCTTAAGGTATCCAGGTTAATAAGGTATATTCAGTCGTCCAGGGTTTTGTATATCAGCACAAGAGCCTTGAACCTGGCCTGGCAGCATATGGGCTTCCAGTGAGGATGCTTTAGCAGAGGGGTCCCATGCTGTGGGCAGCCTGCCCCCATCAGCAGCCTGGCCAGCGCATTCCACACTGGCTGCAGCTTCTGGGCCAGTTTAGATCAAGTTTAAATAAATTGCAAGTGTAAAAGCTGCAGCTATCAAGAGCATGGGATGCTGCCTTATACTGAGTCAAATCACTGGTCCATCTAGCTCAATACTGTCTACACTGGCTGGTAGCAGCTCTCCAGGGTTTCAGGCAGGGATCTCTCCTAGCCCTACCAATAATAATAATAATTTATTATTTGTATCCCACCCATCTGGCTGGGTTTCCCCAGCCACTCTGGGCAGCTTCCACAAAGACCAAAAATACACTAAGATGTCACACATTAAAAACTTCCCTGAACAGGGCTGCCTTAAGATGTCTTCTGAATGTCAGGTAGTTATTTATCTCTTTGACATCTGGTGGAAGGGCGTTCCACAGGGCGGGTGCCACTACCGAGAAGGCCCTCTGCCTGGTTCCCTGTAGCTTCGCTTCTCGCAATGAGGGAATCGCCAGAAGGCCCTCGGCGTTGGACCTCAGCGTCCGGGCAGAACGATAGGGGTGGAGGCGCTCCTTCAGGTATACTGGACCGAGGCCATTTAGGGCTTTAAAGGTCAACACCTTTAAACACCAACACTTTGAATTGCGCTCGGAAACGTACTGGGAGCCAATGTAGGTCTTTCAAGACCGGTGTTATGTGGTCTCGGCGGCTGCCCCCAGTCACCAGTCTAGCTGCCGCATTCTGGATTAGTTGTAGTTTCCGGGTCACCTTCAAAGGTAGGGATGCCCGGGATTGAACCAGGGACCTTTGGCATGCAAAACCAAATTCTGTACCTCTGAGCAATGGGCCTGCCTGAAAGCAACCTCAATTCAGTGCCAAGGAGGAAAAGGAAATTCTGTCACCCTTGCCAGTACAGTACACATGATGCATGTTTTTAACACACACGTAATTCTTGGGTTCCCTTGCTTGGTGGTTGTGGAGAAAGGCACTGAGCTCTATAAATCCGCAAAGGCAAAGTCTACATGCCAGTAACTAAGTTGAGATTGTTTATTCTTGTGATTTATATTTGGCCTTTCTATAAAATATGCAGGCAATTTATAGCAACATAAAGTCAAAAATATACAGTAATAAAAAGAACAACCTCCTCCCTCACAGAAACAATCTAAACTAAAAAGCAGCAGCAGCATAAACACAATGGGCAGTGCTATCCTAACCATGTCTGCTGAAAAGCGACTCCCATTGAGTTCAATGGTGCTCACTTCTGAGAAGACATATTTAGCTTAGTTAAGTGCGGTACTCGATGGGAACTCACTGGAATAGCCTGTTTGAAAGCAAGCAGCAATGGAGCCAGGCAGGCATCCTTTGGAAGGCTGTTCCAGATCTTGGGTGCCACTGACAAAAAGGCTCCGTCTCAGGTACCCGTTTCCAACACCAAGGAGACACATAGCAGGGCCCATTATTATATAGTAATCATATATGGAATTGACCCTGTTAAGGTAGGCTAAACTGAGGGAGGGGGTGCGGGTGGCGCTGTGGGTTAAACCACAGAGCCTAGGACTTGCCGATCAGAAGATTGGCAGTTCGAATCTCCTCAACGAGGTCAGCTCCCGTTGCTCGGTCCCTGCTCCTGCCAACCTAGCAGTTTGAAAGCACGTCAAAGTGCAAGTAGATAAATAGGTACCACTCCGGCGGAAAGGTAAACGGCGTTTCCGTGTGCTGCTCTGGTTCACCAGAAGCGGCTTAGTCATGCTGGCCACATGACCCGGAAGCTGTACGCCGGCTCCCTCGGCCAATAAAGCGAGATGAGCACCGCAACCCCAGAGTCGGCCACGACTGGACCTAATGGTCAGGGGTCCCTTTACCTTTTAAACTGAGGGGGAAAATGACTGGCCGAAGGTCACCCAGTGCGCTTTGTTTTTGAGCAGTTTCAAACCCCAGATTTTCCTAGTCCAGGTTCAACACTCCAACCAGTGCACCACACTGCCTCTAAAGTTTTGCGCCTTTTTAAAAAAAGATGCCTTTACTCAATTGTGAAACACATCTGACTCTGCTACTGAAAACATTTTAGTGCAATAAAGGTATTTGTAACAAAAGCTCAAGCTGTGTTTTTAATGTACACATCCCCAATCATAAGGTTTCACTCTTCCGTCTGCACGACCTCTGGTGTATTTAAAGCTAACCTGCCCTCACATGACTATTTTGTAAACAGTAATAGCTTATGGAATGAAGTGTCATTTCTAAGGCTTTAGGAAAAGTAATAAGTACTGTAATTTGACTATTTCATCTGGGACCTTCGCTTTTCCAGAGATCCTGGCTGCACAGAGAGAGCCTCCAAGGATGCTATTTTTTCATGGACAGCTGCTACTCAGATTGGTTGGTGAACAGATGCAAGAATGGAGACCAGGATCTTGCCTCTTCCCTCTCCACCCATCCTCTCACTCATATCTACAGACATGTCATGCGAGCAGGACTAAAGGGAAGAGAGAAAAACGACTGAAGAAAATCAATACACTAATTCAGAGCCAATTAACTGAGAACAACAACAACTGGCAAGTTGTCAAAAAAGCCCAGTGGTTGTATAATCATGGGATATATTACTACAGTATTAACTTTATGCCCCACCTTTCCACCTAGCATCTAAAGGCGGTGCATGTGGGCCTCTCCTCTATTTTATCCATAGCTGTACATACCCTCCAACATTTCTCAGGTGAAAAAAGGGATATCCTAGGAAAGATTGGGACATTCCAGGATCAAAATCAGAAACTGGGACAGCTTCTGAAAATCCTGTACTGTTCCTTTGAGGGACACTTTGAGGGTCTGGCCGTAGTGACTGGGTCATGTGTGATTGGAACCCAGGTCTCCCCCAGTTTGAGTCCAACACTGTAGCCACTACTCTGTGCTGGCTCTCTTAAAAGGCAGCCTTTTAAGTGTATTCAAAGTACTTCACATTCATATTTCAGTCATGCTTACACAGCACCCTATAAAGTAGGTCACTATTAATTTATTATCTCTGTATTGTAGATAGGGAGGCCTGAGAGACAATGGCTGCCCTAAGGATGCTTAGGGGGGATTCGCATAGTCAGCCCTGCCCATGGAAGCGCTGTGCAAAGTGAAATTTTAAGGGTTGTATTCAAAGCTCAGAGAAGATCCATTGAAATTAATGAACCTGTTAGCCCTGCCCATTAATTTCGAACAGGTCTACTTTGTGTAGAACGAGCATTATGCAAACCCTAACTTGAAAACAAAAACAATGAGAAGGTTTTTCACGGTAATGGTTTTTGTTGTTCTACTGTACTCAGCACCCACCCACCCACAACAGAGGTTGGGTGGCCATCTGCCACAGATTCTATAGCAGTGATTTCTGCACTGCAGTTGGGGTCTCTTTCCAACTCTACACTTCTACATATACAGTGGTACCTCGGGTTACATATGCTTCAGGTTACAGACTCCGCTAACCCAGAAATAGTACCTCGGGTTAAGAACTTTGCTTCAGGATGAGAACAGAAATCGTGCTCCGATGGCGTGGCAGCAGCAGGAGGCCCCATTAGCTAAAGTACTGCTTCAGGTTAAGAACAGTTTCAGGTTAAGAATTGACCTCCAGAATGAATTAAGTACTTAACCCGAGGTACCACTGTACTTGCTGATGGCTGGATTTATTAAAACATTAGAAACGGAAGGCAAAAAGTGCACCAGTGATTTGTTTTAAAGGTGGCTAGAGGTTGGTTTGTTTGTTTGTTTGGTGATTTATCACTATATAATATTTTGAATCTCCTCCATTAACTATGGTAATTAACAGGACAATCCAATGCATGTCAACTCAGAATAAAGTTCCATTGAGTTCAATAGAACTTACATCCTCATAAGGTTGTGTGATCCAGAGCATGACTGGGTTTCTTTCCATGTTTTCCTGGAAGTAAGTCCCACCCACCTCAATGAGACTTACTCTAAAGTAATTATACAGAGGCTTGCAAGCTTTTAGGACTCATCTACATTACTAAAAATAGAACATTATCAATGTCTTATAACATTGTGACACCAGATGGTGGTGTGAAGCTGAAATCGGAAGTCTGTGAAATTTTCCATTGTGAGTTTTAAAACGGATTTTTTCAGAGCGTTTTTTTAATAGCTGTGTAGATGCAGCCTTGGTGATAAAACAGAAGGTGGGCAAAACCAGACCAGGAAGTGAGGGGAAGAGATCCCCCCCAAAAAAATGTCTAGGGATTTGGAAAACAATAGCTGAGTGACCCACACTCGGCCTGTTTCGTTCAGGTTAGCTTTGGCAGTTTCTTGGTCTGCTGTCTGGATCACTCTTCTGCAATCTCCAGACACCTGAGTCCTGGAAAAGCCCTAAAGCATAAATCACTAACCTAAGAAGTACAGGTCAACCTGACAAATTTGTGTCAAACATTTTTTCAGCCACTACCTCAGTTGGTTAGGGCATACTGCTGATAATGCCAAGGTTGCAGGTTTGATCCACTACATTCCAGGGTGATGGACCAGTTGGGTCCATCACAATTCTGCAATTCTATGATTCTATGACCCACTATTTGTGGATCAAAGTGGGGCCGATGGTCTTCTTGTGCCTGTCACATGGGAGTCACTTCAAAAGGTTCCACATGGCATCTGCAATTTTCCACCAGTTTTTTTTTTATATACAACATATTGGCCTGCAATGGTGTGGTGAAACTCCTCCAGACATTCTTTTGTTATCATGCATCCGTGGTGATGGTATCGGGGCAGTTACACATGCTCCCACTTTTGATAGTTTGCGCATGGAAATGTTTTGGGGAAACATACTGCTTTGCTTGTAATAGGTACAAGCCCTGTAGTTTCCTGATGAAATCCTGTAACTTTTTATACATTAAATGCTGTCAAGGTTGTTGGGGTTTTTTAAATGTTCCACTTTTGTTGCAGTATACGGTAGTTTAAAAGTGCGCCCCCAGATGGCATTGGGGCAGCATCACAAAATAAGAAAGGGGAATGATGTATGGATTGGTCCGGTATAAGCTCACCATTGTTATTGAGTCAATGACATGTTGCAGAAAACACCTGTCTGAAGGGGCCCCAATAGCCATCCGGTGAGCTTTTGCAAATGAACAGCTTGCAGATGCCACAGAGAACAATTTATTATGCCCTCTTTGTAGCTATAACATATAAATATACCTTAGCAACCCATGTCATGTCAAAATAAATTTCAACTGAAACCAGTGAGCAGCTGTTTTCTTGTAGAACATGAAGAGATATCCAGAGGAGCTTGACAATAAGGGGAAGAAATATACAATTTTACTGAGCTTTCAGTTTATATCGAATGATGACATCTTTCTCTGGCTGCAACATTCCAAAGCCGTATCTTTCCTTGTCGAAGGCTGGGATTGCTGCTTTGGGATCTTTCAGCTCCAAATCAAAATAGCTTAAGAGGAGGAAAACACACCTGAAATGAGAAAAATAACCTGGTCAGTAGGGCCAAAGACAGGGATGTGACAAAAGTGGCCCTGGGCCTGATTTCATGCATCCTTACAAAAGCATTTGGTGAGCTATCAGTTAGACCTCTGGCAAGATCAATCTATCCCCCCAGCTGCCACCCACCACGCCAAGAAGCCTGTTGGGTAGGGAGGGAGAGAAAGATGGAAGTAGTGGCCTCCAAGATCTTGGCTCTGTACTCTGTAAAATAGGTAGTATGAATATAAACCAGGAGAGCAATACTTTAAACAGAGCATTCCAACAATTCCAATTTTGTAAGATGCACAGATTGCTGTATACATACAGCATGAAGAAAGTTCTGTTTTATCCAGTAGCTATTAACTGTAATTGAAACTACAGTTTAACAGTATAGTCTAGAGGAGCTTACTCCTGAATAAGTGTGCAAAGGCTGCAGCCATACAAAGTAATCTTGTAGGCATGTCTACTCAGAAATAGCTTCCCCTGTGTTCAATGGGCCTCACTCCCAGATTGTTGTTGTTTAGTCGTTTAGTCGTGTCCGACTCTTCGTGACCCCATGGACCAGAGCACGCCAGGCACTTCTGTCTTCCACTGCCTCCCGCAGTTTGGTCAAACTCATGCTGGTAGCTTTGAAAACACTGTCCAACCATCTTGTCCTCTGTCGTCCCCTTCTCCTTGTGCCCTCAATCTTTCCCAACATCAGGGTCTTTTCCAGGGAGTCTTCTCTTTTCATGAGGTGGCCAAAGTATTGGAGCCTCAGCTTCAGGATCTGTCCTTCCAGTGAGCACTCAGGGCTGATTTCCTTAAGAATGGATAGGTTTGATCTTCTTGCAGTCCATGGGACTCTCAAGAGTCTCCTCCAGCACCATAACTCAAAAGCATCAATTCTTTGGCAGTCAGCCTTCTTTTTGGTCCAGCTCTCACTTCCATACATCACTACTGGGAAAACCATAGCTAAGTGTGCATAAAACAGTGTGATAAGCTTGTATGATTTTCTTTTATTGGAATCAAAGCTGCCGCCTTCAATGGCTTAGCAATGCTACCTAACATTTCTTTCTGTGGAAAAATAAATGGATGGTCTAGATAAACTTGAAAATCTTGTGACCTGCTCATTTTAAATTATTCAAGACAGATGGGGGCAGCATCTGGTCACACCTAGGGCTCCTCCAAATGACATATTAGTTGAGCATTCATCCTGATTTGCTTGCACCAAAGCTTAAGAGGAAGTTAAATCATATCCAGTCTTTATTGAGCATTCATTCTTATTTGAGATAATGAGCGCTGATAATGAGCGTTGAACCTGCATTCATCCCGATTTGCCTTCAGGGTGTTCATACATCTTCCTGCTAATAACATGCCCATCCCATACTTTTCAGTGCAATTCCCTGTCACTGCCACACTGATTCTTTTTTTAAAGTGGATTTGTGGCACTAGGGCAACTGGGTGGTTTAATCTACTTTAACTGTGTAAACCTGCATCTCCTGGGATGTGCTTGAATCCCTACTGCAAAATACTGACAATCTGGAGGCAAATAGAAGGCTCACAGAATTAACAACAACAACAACGATATATTATTTATACCCCGCCCAACTGGCTGGATTTCCTCAGCCACTCATTAAAAGCTTCCCTAAACAGGGCTGCCTTCAGATGTCTTCTAAAAGTCAGATAGTTGTTTATTTCCTTGACATCTGATGGGAGGGTGTTCCACAGGGCAGGCGCCACTACTGAGAAGGCCCTCTGCCTGGTTCCCTGTAACTTCACTTCTCACAGTGAGGGAACTGCCAGAAGGCCTTCGGAGCTGGACATCAGTGTCCGGGCTGAACGATGGGGGTGGAGATGCTCCTTCAGGTATACTGGGCCGAGGCTGTTTAGGGCTTTAAAGGTCAGCACCAACACTTTGAATTGTGTTCAGAAATGTACTGGGAGCCCATGTAGGTCTTACATTGCTTTCTATCAATTTGTGCACACTGTGGTCTAAAACCACTGAGCCTAGGGCTTGCCGATCAGAAGGTCGGCGGTTCAAATCCACGCGATGGTGTGAGCTCCTGTTGCTCGGTTCCTGCTCCTGCCAACCTAGCAGTTTGAAAGCACGTCAAAGTGCAAGTAGATAAATAGGTACCGCTCCTGCGGGAAGGTAAACGGCGTTTCTGTGCGCTGCTCTGGTTTGCCAGAAACAGCTTAGTCATGCTGGCCACATGACCCGGAAGCTGTACGCCGGCTCCCTCAGCCAATAAAGCGAGCTGAGCGCCGCAGCCCCAGAGTCATCCACGACTGGACCTAATGGTCAGGGGTCCCTTTACCTTCACCTTTGTGAAGGTCATTGTGGCCATGAGCTGAAAGGTGGCACATCACATTTGATCACTGCCTTGAACTCCCTGGAACCTCTGCACCCCCTGCAGCTGTGCAGTGCTGGATGACCAGGCAGCTTCCATTTAAATTTCCCACAATGCCCCTTGAGCAGTGCTACCTTGGAATCAAGGTGAGAAATAGCAGGTACAGTGGTGCCTCGCAAGACGAAATTAATCCGTTCCGCGAGTGTCTTCGTCTAGCGGTTTTTTCGTCTTGCGAAGCAACCCTATTAGCAGCTTAACGGATTAGCGCTATTAGCGGTTTAGCGGCTATTAAAGGCTTATTGGCTTAGCGGATTAGCTGCTAAAAGGCTATTAAAGGCTTAGCGGCTTAGATAAAGGGGGGGAAAGCGGAAAAAAAATCTCAAGACTCGCAAGACATTTTCGTCTTGCGAAGCAAGCCCATAGGGAAATTCGTCCTGCGAAGCAACTCAAAAACGGAAAACCCTTTCGTCTAGCGGGTTTTCCGTCTTGCGAGGCATTCGTCTTGCGGGGCACCACTGTACCTGGCACCAATTTTAGGAGCAACATCACTAGACAAACCTGTCGGAGGGGTCCACCTGGGCAGGAGGAGGAGCTATACCAAGTATATTCCAAGCTGGAGCCAGCCCCACAGGTTACTGAGTAGCACTGTACACGCACTGTGTACGCACCATTTGCCTAGATCAGGGGTAGTCAACCTTTTTATACCTAATGCATCTTTTTTGATGGCAAAATTTCCTTACTGCCCACCAGTGCTCAATGGAAAGACGATTCAGCTTGTGCCTTAGAACCCCCTACCTCCCACTTAGAATCCTGAAACGCCCACTAGTGGGCGGTAGGGACCAGGCTGACAACCCCTGGGCTAGATAGTTGCAGGTGTCAACCTGCTAACTCAGGGGGAAAAAATTTAAGCATGCTTTAAGTATCTGATTGGAAATACAGGACAGCAAAGGAGTGGGAAGTTTGTCTTCTGTGCCTGACAGAACTCCGATGGCTTTTCTCTATATTGATGGAACGTTTTCGCTGCTATTTTATTGGGTTTATTTTATAGGCTATTGTACCGCTTTTATTACAATACGTTGTTAGTTTTTTCCTGATTTCATGCCATGCTTTATGCTTTTGAAATTCGGTAAGTCACTTGGAGAGTCCTTATGTGTCAAGCAGCTCATAAATCGAATTAATAACAATGTAAGTTGTTCCTCTGAACTATGCATATGGCTGGGAGGACGGCTAGGAGCAGGCTCTGCCCCCCCCCACATGTGTTGGTTGCGTATCTCCCTGCAATATGCCTACATGCACAGGGCCCCTTCCATGTGACTGGGAATCCTGTATGGGATAGGAAGCTGCCATATTGGTCCATCTCAATATTGTCTACACCAGCCTTCACCAACCTGGAGCCCTCCAAATGTTGTTGGGCCCCAGTCTCCATCAGCCCCAGCCAGCATAACCAATTGCCAGCAATGATGGAACTTGTAGTCCAACTTGGGGGCACCAGGTCAAGGACCAGGCAAGTGTACACCAACTAACTTTCCAGCGTTTCAGACAGACCAGGGATATGGAACCTGTGGTTCTTCAGATGTTGATGGACTCTAACTCTCACTGGTCCCCAGCCATCATGGCCAGTGCTTGGCTGCAATGTGACTTACTAGGGAGTAATCCCTATCAACCACTTTGGGACTTACTTCTGAGTAAACGCCATCCTGTCATTTTTTTGTTACAAGCCAGCGCTAGCTTCTTACAATCGAAATTATTGCGAGAGGCGGTCATTATATCAACATGAAAAATTCACTCACTGTTTGATGCTATTGACTGCAAGGAACTTTCCGATACAGACATTTATTCCTGCTCCCCATGGCATGGAGTAATACTTGAGGCTTTTCCCTCCTTTATAGAAATCTGTTTTTTCTGTGCCGTCCGAATTAAGGAATCGGTCATATCTGAATTTCTGAAAAAAAGAAGTTCAAAGTGAGGAAATGTTTCTTTTAGGAAACATCAAAAATGCAGAGCACAAGGATTTTGAGTCATGGGCAGGAATCTGTTTGGAAGATATATAGATATAGATATAGATATAGATGATATAGATATAGATATAGATGTAGGTATAGATATATAGCAACAATAATAAAAGAATAAAAGTTCCTGTGACAAGGCAATTGTTTACATGACCATCCTTGGTTTGTAGACTAGAGATAGCCTATGTGGTGTTCTTCAGATGTCATTGGACTACAACTCCCATAATCCCTTGCTGGCTGGGGCTGATGTCCAGCAACATCTGGAGAATATCATATTGGCTACTTCTGTTGCACCCTTTTCAGTCACAAGATACAAGAGGAAACTTAGAGTGGCAACACAGGGGAAAATCCACAGTAAGCTCTCCTCCACAAACTCTGTTAAAATTAATGGGGGTTTCCTTGGGGCAGATGGAAGTAAATGCATCTTTGATGCATTGCTTTCTTCTAGCCCGTTGTCTGCCTGAGGCCCATTCTATGACAAAGGAGGAAGAGCATTTAGAATTGGCTGTTGGATGTATTGATGCTCAGTCTAAGTCTCTTTGGCTGTCCTTGGGAGTGGAATGGGGAAAATGGAACAACATTTCAAAGCCAGAACCTCCTCTACACCCTTCCAGTCAGCCCACAGCACTAGTCTCCTGTCTCATGGCTACAGCGCCACTTTGGCATTGCTTTAGGCATTTAGGACCATTTCCTTCTCCTCTACAGGATTCACATCTGGATCCTTTAGCAGGGGATGGAAGTGCCTAGGGAGCTGAAAGATGTTTGCTCTCAAATCATAGATGCCTGGAAGCTTAATGCAGCAAAAGTGGAACATTTAATTGCAATTAAGGTTAACAACCTTACTTTTTTCTAAGCTTACTCAGAGAGTCTCTGCTTGCTCCAAATTAAATCTGTCATGTAAGGCATTGATGAGCATTTTGAGAAATACTTTAAAACATGCTGTTGGGTTTTTTTGTTGTTTTTGGATCCTGAAATAGAACACAGGAATTTACTTGCTAATTGAGAGGCAGGTGAGCCTCGTGCAACCTTACAAACAATAATTTAATGAGACTTGAGTTACAATAATATCAGCATCGTTTCTGCCATAATGGTCCCTGGGAGGCTGTTCATAAGAGGAAGCAATCCCAGTTTGATTCTTTGTTAACAAAGAGAAGATTAACGTGGTGCTGGTGCAAGGGAGGTAGGAAGACAGAGAAGGAGAAACTCATTGATATATTAAAGAAGTGCCTTAGGTTGTCACAGCAACAGCCAAAAAGGAATTCCACTTATCAATTCTGGTCTGCACTTAGCATTCTTTACATCAGTGGTTCCTGAACTTTGCCCTCCACCCCACTGACCATTTGAAAATTACTGATGGTCTTCGCAGACCATTAATGATTTTTCTACCTGTTGCAGCCAGCGTAATTGTAAAATAAGCAATAAAAATACAATTAAAATTGGTATGAATATATAATTCAGATATGCCATCTTGTAGACCACTGGTGGTCCAGGAACAACAGTTTGGGAACTCCTGGATTACATCATTCTATTTTTACATCCAGAGAGTTATTATTTTTACTCCTGGAATTGGTCCTGAGAGCCAATTTTTGAGGGACACGTATTACCTGAGCAGGTTCACAGGTGACTGTAAAACCAACAGATGCTGCGTGTGTGAATGAGCCACTTCGGATCTAACATCACAGATGGAAACTCTGTCATCACCCAATGCCATCTTTTCCCCCAATCAAATCAATTCACCCATTCAGCAGCCAGTCACCAAAGACAGAATAATCAGGTGTAGGAAAACCACGGGGTGTCCATATGTTTATGTGAACCAGAAGCTCTTTGTGATTTGGATACAAGAAATCATGGCTTGCTGGCATATCGAATATCCAACTTGCAATGGCTGTGTAGATCCATTAAGATTTCTATCGCAAGAGTAATTCCGGGAGCTCTACCAAGGGTGGAACAGGTGAGCCAGATCAGTGTTGACAGTAACAGCTCAGGCACTTACGGATGGAGGATTTTGCCATTTCCAGCCAAGCTAATACAGTGTATGCGACATCCACAAACCATGAGGACTTTTGCCCCCTCTCTGTTGCTCTCCACTATTTCACATGGCAGGCCGGGAGATAAGTGAGATCAGTATGTCCAAATGATGAATTGCAAAAGGACAGTCTGTTTTTCTATGTCTGCCTTGGCACTCCTGTCAAGCAACACATTTCATATAGAATGTGCTTAAGGACATAAGAAGTGCCCTGCTAGATCATATCCAAGACCCTTCTAGTCTAGCATCCATTTTCCTTATAATGGACAGCTAGAAGGACACTGACAAACTGGAACGTGTCCAGAGGAGGGCAACCAAAATGGTCAAAGGCCTGGAAACGATGCCTTATGAGGAACGGCTAAGGGAGCTGGGCATGTTTAGCTTGGAGAAGAGGAGGTTAAGGGGTGATATGATAGCCATGTTCAAATATATAAAAGGATGTCACATAGAGGAGGAAGAAAGGTTGTTTTCTGCTGCTCCAGAGAAGTGGACACGGAGCAATGGATCCAAACTACAAGAAAGAAGATTCCACCTAAACATTAGGAAGAACCTCCTGACAGTAAGAGCTGTTCGACAGTGGAATTTGCTGCCAAGGAGTGTGGTGGAGTCTCCTTCTTTGGAGGTCTTTAAGCAGAGGCTTGACAACCATATGTCAGGAGTGCTCTGATGGTGTTTCCTGCTTGGCAGGGGGTTGGACTCGATGGCCCTTGTGGTCTCTTCCAACTCTATGATTCTATGATTCTAGATGCCCTGGGAAACCCTCAAGAAGGACATGAGGGTAATTCTCCTCTTGTTGTTCCCCAGCAACTGATATTCAGAGGCATCCACTGGTAGCATGATCTTCCATCAATTTGCCTCCCTTTCCCCCCAGTTGCCTTTTAAAATAACCAAAATTGGTGGCAATCTCCACGTCCTGTTGAAGTGAATTCCATAAGCAAACATGACTTAAGCTGCAGAGGTCAGCAAACTTTTTCAGCTGGGGGCCGGTCCACTGTCCCTCAGACCATGTGGTGGGCCGGACTATATTTTGAAGGGAAAAAATGAACGAATTCCTATGCCCCACAAATAACCCAGAGATGCATTTTAAATAAAAGCACACATTCTACTCATGGAAAAACATGCTGATTCCCGAACCGTCTGTGGGCCGGATTGAGAAGGCCATTGGGCTGGATGCAGCCCCCGGACCTTAGTTTGCCTACCCACCTAATGGCTTAAGGTCATTAGGTGCAGGGTTCAGCATTACTTCTGGTTCAGCTAGTCTTTGGTGGGGCAAAAAGTCTGCTGAGCATCCAAACTGCCTTTCCTGATCACTGGAAATTGTACCTCCCTCCCCTTTGAGATGTCAACAAGCGCTTTCAAACCTATCTCTCTAGCTTTAAGGGCTAAAACTTGTTTCTTTCAGAAGAAAATGGAAATCCTCGAGAAACTGGTAGCAGTACCAGTTTGTACGCTAGCATGGCGTTAAGAATCCTGAAACACGTGCAATCCTCCCCAGAAAGCTAGGTTGTTTTTAGGCATGGGATTGTGACTCTGTCAATATTGTGCTGTTTCGACATGTTGGCATGGGTTTTATGCCCATGTCAGGCTGCAAGAGAGATGAGAGTAAACAAGGAGATGGAGCAATCCCCCACTGAGGAAGGATTGCAAGGTTGCAGCATTCGGGACTTTTTAGTTTAGAGAAAAGGCAATTAAGAGGAGACGTGATGCAGGTGGTCAAAACTATGCAAGGCATGGGGAAAGTAGAGAGAGAAAATATTTCCTCCCTCTGTCATAATGCCAGATCTTGGGGTTCATCCAAGAAAGCTGATAGATTCCCTTGTTCACACAGTAGGCAGCTAAACTGTGCCATTCACTCCCTCAAGATAGAATGAAGACCACCATATTGGATGGCTTTGAAAGAGGATTAGGCAGAATCATGGATGTTAAGGCTTTCAGTGGTGACCAGCCATGAAGTTTCTGTTCTACCTTCATCATTATTGGAGGCAGTGTGCCTCTGAATACCAGTTACTGGGAATCACCAGTGGTGAGGGTGATGCTGTGCTCGGGTCCTGGCTTCCCATAGGCAACTGGTGAGCCAATGTAAGAAGAGGTTTGATGGATTAGATGGGCCATTGGCCAGAGCCAGCAGGATCTTCTTGTGGTCTTAAAGATGCTGAACATGGCATTGTCACAATACTCAACCCAGTGGGTTTAAATAAGCCAAGCAGTAAAAGGAATCTGTGGAGGAAACTGTCAGGAGGAACATGATTCAGAACAGTGCAGCTTTACCTCTGGCTCCTCATAAATTTCAGGGTCCATTTGAGGGCTTATAAATGGAAAGAGGCAAAGCCTATCTCCTTTTCTCAGGCTGTACTCTCTGCCGTCTGCCAGTCTCAGGCACATGTCTTGAAGGACCTCTCTGGTGATGAAAGGAGCTGCTGTCAAACGTAGCATTTCATTCAATGCGCTGTCTGTACAAACGGGAGAAGCAAAGGGGGGGAATTACTGCGTCCAATAATCATGCAAAGGAGCAAAGGTAGGAGCAGCTGCCTTTATCTCTGTGTGCCAAGGATATGGCTCACTTTTCTAACACTGCAAATTCACTTAAGAAAATTCCACCATGAGATATCCCTTAGGAAATGCAAGATTGCCTACGCTTTCCTGAAAAACTGGACTGGCAGCAAAGGAAAAGTGATAAGGAGTCTAGTCCAGTGAAAAAGGAAGAGGCTTGCAGATGTAGCTCAATGGTACAGAACATGCTTTGCATGCAGAAAATATTGGGTTCAATCCTGGGCATTTCCTGGTGGGGCTGGGAGAAAGACCCTCTGTCTAAAATCTGGGATAGCCACTGTCAGTCAGTGTATTACTGAGCTAGATGGAGGAAGGGTCTTGACTTAGTATAAAGCAACCTCCTCTGTTCCTTAGGTAAAGGTAAAGGGACCCCTGACCATTAGGTCCAGTCGTGGCCGACTCTGGGGTTGCAGCGCTCATCTCGCTTTATTGGCCAAGGGAGCTGGCGTACAGCTTCTGGGTCATGTGTCCAGCATGACTAAGCCGCTTCTGGCGAACCAGAGCAGCGCACGGAAACGCCATTTACCTTCCCGCCGGAGAATTACCTATTTATCTACTTGCACTTTGATGTGCTTTCGAACTGCTAGGTTGGCAGGAGCAGGGACCGAGCAATCCCGTTGTGGGTATTCGAACTGCTGACCTTCTGATCGGCAAGTCCTAGGTTCTGTGGTTTAACCCATAGTGCCACCCGTGTCCCTTAGATTCCTTCTATTACATTTGCCTTATTCCTTAGATTCCTTCTATTACATTTGCCAGTCCGTTACATTCCTTCTATTTGCAATTCCTTACATTTGCCAGAGGCACATCACGGTTACACCAAGGTTTCCTGCTGCAAATACATTAAGTGCAAACAGCAGGTGTGTGCTACTCCCCTCCATTTCTTTATAAAACCACCATCCCATTCCTTACAGTTTATAGCATAACAGTACATATCCACATTTTAGTACATAACATAAACAGCCTAATTTTTATTGTTTGATTGAAAGATATTCTGTTTCACGGCATTAGATTTCTAGTGTTCTACCCTTAAATCCATCTTGATGGCTGAAAATGGTATATGTATATATTTTAAAAAATAATAATTACTACTAGTAATGCACATATATTGTACTATACTTATCGCACAGCACTATGACCATTCATACCTCGTACCTACATCTCAAAGACTTAAGAACTCCCTCCAATTATTTAAGAACACAGATTTATGTTCTTTAACAGTGTGGGAGGCCAGTATGGGGTCACTGTCAGAAAGTAAAGACTGGAGCCACGTGACTCAGGTTTTAATTCTCTACTCAGCCATGGAATTTGCTGGGTGACCTATCTCACATGGATGTTGTGAAGATAAAATGAAAGTGGGGAAAACAATCCATATCTCTTCGAGCTCCCTGTGGAACCAGAATTTAGAGGCGGTTTTGAAAAACTAGTTTATAGTAAAATTAAAAAGTTCCTGAACTAGACCGCTACAATTTCTAGCTGGCAAAGAATGGAATGACCCTTTATAAATGAATGAATGAATGAATGAATGAATGAATGAATATCAAATCCTGTACATAGAAAACTTCATGGCAGGGTGAAAGCCAGGCTAGGATTCCCCCCCCCCCAATAAACTACGTACTTTTCTGTGGGCAGATCCGCACCATACATTCCAAGCCTATTCAACACACATTTAAAGCAAGTGGCTTCCCCCCAAACAACAACAACAACTGGGAATACTGGGAGCTGTAGTTTGTACATGGAATATGCTTTAAGTGTATAGTGTGGATCTGCTGATTTTTTTGGAGCTGCTGCTTCTTCTTTTTTTGCCATGGGACAAGTACTTCCAAGCAGTTGTGCTTAGTAGAGTCTTATCCTCCTTGAGCATTCTTGGTTCGAACAGGTTTATTGCCCATCTTCCCTAGCAGCTGAAAAAGGTCCTTACACGGCATATGCTGATCTTTAGCAGGAAGAATGGTGTGAAAATGTGTCACTGCCGGGACAAATCAACCCTGTTTTAATAGCAGTTTTGAACAGAGTTAATGAACATTCCTCTTTAAGGAAACATGGTCGGTGACAAAGGCACTATGGTGCAAATGTAGGAGTTGCAGTGCTTGGAACAAGATGTAGTGACTTAAAATACTCCTTGTGCCTAAGGAGTAATCTAATGAAAGGACATGGTGGTCTAGGGCTACCTTGTTGTCTTTTAGATTTCTCAGTTCTGATCACAATGTTGGCAACGCTGCACCACTGTTTCTCCACATTCGGAAGGGAAGAGATGACTAAACTAGGAGTTTTAAAGTCCACCATCAGTTAGAAATGCTGTGTAAATTAATACCTTAATTATCTGAGTGTTTCTCCAAAAGCCAACAAGGAAATTTGGGCATTCCTCCATTGCTCAATGAGATGAAATGTAGGTGGAGGGATTTTGTGATAGCTTGGGAGGCCATGCAAAATATGACAAAGACTGTTGCCCATTCAAAGGGAGGGCAGGAGGCATGGCTGCTGCTCTAATTGGATTGATGACATCATCACGTAGCCAGCCCTGATTGGTTATGTGGCACTGTGATATCACGCTGGCTTTGTGCTCCTTGACTGGCTGGATCAGGCAGCCAAAAAGAATAAGGATTTTAAAAATGGTGCCAAAGCAGCTCCACAGAGGTACAGTGAACCAATCTGAAAAGGTACAGATATGGGAGGGGGTGGTGTAGAATGTGACCTTTGTATGCCAGAAATATCCACCCATAAACATTAGGCACAATCTTACTTCTCTTGAGAGATGCAAATAAATTTGATGTTGAATTGGACGCTTGTGCAATGATTATATAAGAGCATGTTGGAGTCCTACATTTGGCAGATGCTAATGAGGAAGTATTTCTCTTCCCTTTATGACTACACATTAAGAATAACCACACATTCACATAAATCTTGCAGGGGAGGCTCAGCAGCAATTTAGATGTGCATTCCAGAGAAATTTAGGGGGCAATGAGAGAGAGAGTGAGAGTGAGAGTGAGTGAAAGAGGTATTAAGTGCCTGCCAACTTATTGCTCTTCAGATATTGATCGAGGCTTCTACAAATATGAGTCTTCCTCAGGGACCCTGCACTTCCCAAATGTGCCTGAGGCCCAGTAATTAATAACACTCCATGGATCACCCTGCATAGGGAGGTTTGATCTTTGACTCTATCCCTGAAGTAGTCTCAGGCTCCTCCAATGAGGAACTCCACCAACTCGTCATGGACCAAAAGTCCTCCAATCTTTTGGATGAGAAGATAGAAATCGTACCAGGAGAATGCCAGGGTTCTCAAACCAGGGTTCTGCCCAAGCACTGAAGAAGCCACCACCATGACTTAGGACCTCAATTGGTTATGTGAGCATTGTTGAAGTAATTCATGGGTGCCTAGGACCTGTCCAAGGTCCTGTAAACTTTAATGGTAACACCAGCTTCTGTTGGTCTCCCATTCAAAACCAGTCCTTCCAAGTCTTGCTCAGCTCCCTGTAGGTTCCCAGCATGACTGAAACAGGACACATGTAATAGAATACTTAAGCTGGTGCCATCATATGAGAGTTATGTACCATTTCCTGCACAGAAGTGCAGATATTAGGCTGCTTCAGTTGTTCTCTTCTCAGGCGATTATGGTTGTCTGAGGGGCAGATGCTTTCATTGCCCCCACCATTATGCCCCCTCATGACCACATGTTGAGGCGAAAGGTCTGAAGCAGGGATCCAGCTTTAAGTATGTAGGCCCTGCCCCAATGATGATTGCCTTACCTAATGACAGGGCTGGCTCTGCACAGATTCAGAAAGACTGAGTAACTGGGCAGCACATGGAGACAGCTATAACCATGATAGGGGTATCTGGAAACAGTGCAACTCAGACCACAGAAATGTAGGGACAGTAGAGAATCTGGTGGTGAAGGGAAATATGTGAAGGGAAATTGGATGTCAAAGAGGCACATGGAATGGGTGCAGGGACTTCAGGAGCCAGTGGTACTGCTGTGAGCTAGTGTGGTCTAGTGGTTAGGGTGTTGGCTAGGAGCTGGGAGACCAGAGTTCAAATCCACACTTCTCCATGAAACTCACTGGGTGACCTAGACCCAGACACCATTTGCCAGCCTAACCTACCTCACAGGATTGTTGAGGCAAAAAAATAGGGATGGGGAGAACCTTGCTCTCTGGAGCAAAGGCAGGATATACATGTAATAATAAATAACATGTTTGTTTTTTAAAAAAAAAGTTTCATGGAAGGTATCAAATTGCCTGAAGCTGGCTCCAAATGTGAGATTACTAACCAAAAATGGGTGTGCAGTCTAAAATCTCTTGGCTGATTCCATGCATTTGTCCAATTTTTTGTCTTCTACTTCGAAAGATTCCTTCCATTTCACCTTGAACTGCTGCCATGGCTGAAGGGTATTTTAAAAGAAACAGGAGAAGCCAGAAAACTGCAGGCCCTGCATTACTCTAAAAATAAACACAACAACAAGATTGTCAACAACAACAAAACAACAACTCATGAATCAATAAAGCATCTACTACAACAACATAAGGAAACAAAACACAAGTCACTGTAAATATCATTTTCATTTGTAAAGAACACCAATTGCATCCATAACATGAAAGTAAATTAACAAGAGGATGGTTCTTGAAGGATTGCCCTGAAAGGCTGATAAATACCTTTTGAGCACTTGTGCATTATTAATGGTAGTATTCCCAGACCTAATCGGCTCCTTCAGAAACTCAAAGCATCTGACAATTCTTTTATCAGGAAGACAATAACAGGAGGAGCCTGGACGAGCCCTGTGAATTTAGGCATATACAGTGGTACCTCGGGTTAAGAACTTAATTCATTCTGGAGGTCTGTTCTTAACCTGAAACTGTTCTTAACCTGAAGCACCACTTTAGCTAATGGGGCCTCCTGCTGCCGCTGCGCCGCCGAAGCGTATGTAACCTGAGGTACCACTGTAATTGAATCAAAGCCGGAAGCAGAACATGAAGGCTTGTACCCATGTCATACTTAGAGCAGACCTGTTGAAATCAATGGGAACCAGTTGCAGGGCAAGCTCAACCTGATTGACTATGTTGGAGAGAGTTTGGATGGAGTGTGTTTGGGGGGGGGATAACTTTGCATCTTAATCTACCTCCCTTACATTACATATGCAAATTATGTCAGTTTTCCTAAGGGTTTCGGTGCGCCAGAGCTCATGCACCCGAACCAAGCATGGTTGAATACGTGGAAATAATGGTAACAGAAATTACGACATAAATTCAGCCATAGCAGACAGCGTGGTGAATAATGTAGTATTTGGTGGAAACCAAAGTGCTGCAGAATGGAAGCAGAACAGATTGTGATGAGTATAGAAATCACTGCCTTCTCACATCCCTTACCAGAGATGCAACGCGAGACCTTTTGCGTGCATGGTGTGTGTCCTTTTACTGAGCCACAGAACATCCCTTTCTCTCTATACAATTCCTACATCTCACTTCCAGTTCAAAAACAAGGCTTCTAGCAATCTGAACTACAGGAACGATCTGGAAAAGAATGGTTATACTGCTCTCTAAAGGCTGAACAAAGCAAAAGGGAGTAAAAAAAGGAAAAAGTGAGATATTTGCTCCCCCCCCCCAATTTTTCCTAAACCTCACAGCTTTTGCTCTAGTCTTTTGCTTTGTTTAGACCTAGCTTATGAAGTTGGCTTGTATTGATACACATCATTAAGCTTGCTGCAGCCAATGGCCATATGGAGAAAAAGTGCCAGGAAAGTTGAACGCAAAAGGTGCCAGCTTCAATTCCAGGCAGTGGCGAAGCTACCTGCTCCAGCACTGGGGGTGGTGTACATCTGGAGGCATGGCTGGCAAACGTCCCAGGGAGCGTGGCACGCATCAGGGTGTGTGTGCAGCAAGCAGTGTGCATCCCGGGGCATGCACAGCAAGCAGTGCAAGTCCTGGGGGTGTACAGCAAGCAGCGAGAGTCCCAGGGGGTGAGGGCGGCTGCGATGTCACCCCCCCCAGATGGCACCTGGGGCGTACCACCCCCCTCACCCCCATGGCCCGTTTACAATGTTAAGCCCCCTTCCTAAATGTGTTGAACCTGGAGCGAGGGTTTGACCATCAGTGCTAAATGGACAGCTGAGAACTCAAGCCCTCTTTGGAAGTACATTTCCTCCATGTAACTGGAATCATGCAAGGGACAGTTTCAGCTCCGCTCGAGTTTTTAGCATCTAGCTTGAACATGCCCCCTCCACCATGTTCTCATCATAGCCCTCCACATGTCTGGGGCTGAATTTCTGTAGCAGGGAGCCTGCTGTACACATGCACTGTACAATCTAGAACCCTGGTCTTCCAGGCTTTCAAAATGTGTGGAGAGCTGACACAAGTAGAGAAGGTTGCTTGCCAAAGAAGTTCAGTTCCCAAGCCGTGGAAAGTTACCGATCTGAGAGTTCAAGAGGTGACATAAAAGGATGGAGCTGATGAGCTCATCTCCATTCTCCTCCATGCACTATCCTAATCATGTAGCAGGTGAACTTTTGAAGAGGGTTTCAGAGTTTCCTAATTATAAAAACAGGTTGTCTTTGCATAGGGAAGTTTTCCACCTGCCCCTTTGCACCCAGGATGGCAAATCTATTTCAGAATCTGGAAAATACACTCCGTGGAAAATCAAGGGTAAAAAAAATATCCGGCGGACCAAGCTTTGTGTACTTTTCCTTTGCTTTTCTTTTTAAAATTGTGATGATTAAGTGAAATGCAATATAGCACCATCGCTGATAGCAAGTGCATCTACAGTACATTAAACCTAACAGAGAAGAGCGCAGGGCATGCATAATTCATGCTGTTTTTGGAGAAGAGGATGCAAGTTTATTCCGCACAACTTTTCAAGGAGGGCGACTGCTCTTTTAATTAAAGTGCAGGCATTTAAAGGAGGGGACAAAGTGCACAAGGTTTTTAATCATTCATGTTGCAAGCAAATGCGTTTATTCGTGCTTCTCGGGGTGGTGGTGGAATAAAGTCTCTTCCGCCTCCTTGGAGACTGCATTCCAGAAAATTCCTGTCATCTCCTAGGGAAGCTGTAGGGAAACTGTAGAGTGCAATGTCATTTGGGGCAGATGCACTAATGCGTGTGGAATGTGTGTGTGTACAGGGGGTGGGGTTTACAGGTGAAAGAAGCAGAAAAGCAAGCTGCATGCAGTGGTTTTCAGAGTGTGCTCACAAAGGTTCCTCTGGAAACTGATTAGGGGCTCCTGAATACAATGTTCTTCTGCCACTACTGATACTCCCCTAGTAGTAAACTGTTTTATACCAAGTCAGGCTTTAGCCCATATAGGTAATAGAGTCATAGAGTTGGAAGGGACCCTGAGGATCATTCAGTCCAAACCCCTGCAATGCAGGAATATGCAGCTTTTCCATATGGGGCTCAAACCTGCAACCTTGGCGTTATCAGCAAGACGCTCTAACCAGCTGAGCTATCCAGTTGGTCAGTACAGTGGTACCTCTGGATGCAAATGGGATCCGTTCTGGAGCCCTGTTCACATCCTGAAGTGAACGCAACCCGCGTCTGCGCGGGTCGTGATTCACCGCGTCTGTGCATGCGTGTGACGTTATTTTGAGTGTCTGCTCATGCGCAAGCGGCGAAACCCGGAAGTAACACATTCCGTTACTTCTGGGTCGCCACGGAGCGTAACCTGAAAACGCTCAATCTGAAGCTACTTTAACCTGAGGTATGACTGTATTATTATTATTTAAAAATAATTTTTATTAATTTTCTTTTCTCAAAACAAATATCCAATATCATTGTTAAACATACATTTCCCAATTTCCCCCCTCCCTGTTGACTTCCCTCAGCTACCATTTCTGGATTATTACATCAAATGATACATTCTACTGTTTATATACAATATTATGTATATAATATTGCATGGAAGTTTGGAAGTGGAGAGTCATGCCTATTGTTTAAACTCCAAAATAAAAGTGTCGATTGAGGAAGTGGGATGGTGGAATTTCCTACCTGAGTGCTCCAGAGCTGCAACAGCATTGCTCTTGTCTGCATATTTTCATCTACTCCAAGGTCTACCAAGTGCTGTTTGTAGCTGTCCAGCCAAACACTTCGGTTAGCTCTGCAATCCAGTCTCTTCACAGACAGTAACTTCCAGAGGTGCTTCCTAAGGCTGTTGATTTCCTTCTTTTCCGCTGCACATAGAAAAGCCAGTGGCATCAATAGGAATGTTGTATTATTGTGATTGCACTAATATACCTCCTCCCACAAGAGGTCAGAACAGCACATATGGGGCCGTCTCATTTTATCCGGACAACAACCCTGTGAGATTATTTTAGATTGCCTTAGATTATTGCATTATAAGAATGTTAGGAAAGGTTGGAGAAGAAATATTAGACCGTATTGGCAGACAGAGTATAATGGAATTAAGTAAATATGAAGTGTAAATTAAAAGATAGAGGAGAATTAAATATTTTTGAATGTTAAAATGTTAAAATAAGTAAATGAAAAGAAGGTTAGAAGGATTTGCTGGAGATACAATTTGAATTAGAATACAAAGCAGAGAAGTGAGAGGAAGTCACGGAAATAAGTAAATGGGAAAACGGTTTGTTTAATTTGAATTTTTCTTTTGTTATTTTTATTGTGACTTTTTGTCTTGTGTATTTTTTTTCTTTTCTTGTATGGTGTGTTTCTTTTGTAAGATGTATGTGATTGGTTTTTCTTGCTTTATTTTTTCTTTTTTTGTAATCTTAAAATTTGAATAAATATTCTTAAAAATGAAAAATAGATTATTGCATTATATGCATTAATTCCAATTTTAATTGTTAGCCGTCTTGAGGGTCCTTGTTAAGAATGAAAGGTGGGAGACAAATGATTTCATAAATCAGTAGGTATACTGAAAGATTCTCCAATGCCACCATTCATAGCTGAGCAAGAATTTGAATCCAGGAGAACTCTAAGCAGTACCCTGGGATTGCAGAGATAAAGGGAAGCACACTCTGGTCTTTGTCAGTGAGCAGAGGCTGAAACCTTTGCCTCCCAGGAGGTGTATAATGGCATAGTAAGGACTAGTTGGGCCCCATCAACCAGCTAGAGGAGGAGGAACTGTTCGGATACTTGCATTCCTCTTCCCTCCCCATTCCCCTTTCCTTTTGAATCATGTCTACTAGACTGTAAGTCTGTAGAAAAGGACTGTCTTATCTTTTGATATGTGTACAGCACAGAGCAGAATCCTAACCCCATAATAAGCACTATTGGAAGAGAGGAGTTAGGATTAGGTGGTGGTCCCTCTGCTGGGCTATGCCAGTGGTGGAACTCTGCTGCCATGGAGGTTTCCACTGTTTCAGTAGTAGTCCTCATAGTTTTTCCACTATTCTGCAAGTATCATTCTAATGGGTAACCCATGGGTATGCAAACTAAGGCCCGGGGGCTGAATCTGGCCCAATCACCTTCTGAATCCGGCCCACGGATGGTCCAGGAATCAGCGTGTTTTTACATGAGTAGAATGTGTCCTTTTAGTTAAAATGCATCTCTGTTATTTGTGGGGCATGCCTGGTGTTTTTACATGAGTAGAATATGTGCTTTTATTTAAAATACATCTCTGGGTTATTTGTGGGGCATAGGAATTCGTTCATTTCCCCCCAAAAAATATAGTCCGACCCCCCACAAAGTCTGAGGGACAGTGGACCAGCCCCCTGCTGAAAAAGTTTGCTGACCCTGGGGTAACCAGATCTATCTATTCCTTAAAAAAACAAGCAAACCACAACTCCCTGCAAGGCAAAACGACCTGAAAGGTTGCACAATAGCACCATCTACTGCTCATAATAGCTTCTGTACATTAAGTAGTCTAGTCCTTCTCGGAAGCTACATTTCTGTTACTGTCAGATCACATTTATGCAGCAGTGTTATGGGCTTATTTTTTGCAACTGGGAACATCTGGTTAGTGGAGCAGCAGCTGCCGCCGCCAAAACTCTGAAGACATGAGAATGAAACTTGAGGGACACGGCCTAACCCAAAATGCTGCCAAGGTAGAGATGGCTCTGGCAGCGGTGGAAAAGGAGTGGGGTGGAAGCTCTGCTGGTTTAGCAAAAGAGCTCAATGGTGATGGGTCACCAGATCTAGACGGTGGTGCAGACTTGTGTACTTTTGGTCCAGAGGGCAAGACAAAACAAAGGGGTGGAAATTGCAAGGAGGCTGATTTGGGCTTAACATGAGAAGAAGGTCCTAACAGCAAGAGCTTCTCGACAGTATAGTAAGCTTCCCTGGGAGGTGCTGGACTTGCCTTCACTTAGATGAACTAAGAGGCCCATCAGGCCCATCTGCATAGGAATCTGTTATTGCAAAATTCCTGCACAAAGCAGGGAAGCTGGAGTAGATTGCTTTCAAATTACCTTCTGGTTCTGAAATCCTAAGGCTATCCAAGATCCATTAGAGATCTGTGTGCTCGTGTGTGTGTGTGTGTGTGTGTGTGTGTGTGTGCATGCGCACACATAAACATATGCATTTATGCAAATACACATAACTTAATTTTAAAATGCAAAAAATAAATTTACATAAAGAAAGGTGTGTTGGGGGATAGGGCAGAGCCGACCCTACCGTTAGGCAGATTGAGGCAGCCACCTCAAACAGCAAATGCTGGGGCGGGGCAGCCTCCTACAATTCTCCAGAGTCCCATGAGCTCTCCCCAAGTCTGGTGCCTCAAGCAGTTAGCTCTGCCTACAAAGGCTGAGAGATGAATTTCCAGGTTTGGTGATGGAGAGCGTTGTTTTTGGAGGCCAAGCCACACACCACTTCCAATTTACCAAGCACCAGAGTTTGGGGAATGATTGTTCTTGACCAGACACACCAACCTGCACTCAAGATGGAGCGAGCAGCTTTCATCAAAAGACGGTCCAGTTTATAAAACTCAGTGTATATTTCCAGGGAGAAGGCCAGGTCTTTAGCTTGATTCCTGCTATCCTCATAATCTTTGCCTTCATTGCCATACAGTGTCAGGAACCCAGCTCTGGCAAGTGGGGACAGAAACAATAAAAATCCTCTTTAAAATACTTTTATTTTCTTGCAATATAACTATCACAGTCATCTAGATTACATATTAATTACAATGACTTTCAGTACCATTTATATGGAAATGGTGTCATCTCTACCTCTCTGTTCAAACCCTTTCATCCTCAACTCATTATGCGTGCCTTTTGAAAATTCATATCTATATTAAATATCTGCTTTTCTGCTATTCTTCTTGCTTGTCTCATGCTCAGTATATCCAAAGCTGAGTTTTATCTCTTCCATCCCATTTTTCTCATAATCAGTCTCCTCATCTATTGACAATATCACCATCTATGGTTTGCACTATGTGTACAATGTGTACAATGACTGTGTACACATTGCTGTTTACTCAGGCTCCTGTGAGTACACACAACATCAGCCACAATGCTCTTGCTTCTGGAGAAATGCTGTTCTCTGGCACATCTTCCCTCAAACCAGCTTCCATCTGTTTTGAAAACAGTGTCCCACAATGTGGAAGCAGAAGTCCTTTCCACAAGTGCAAAGTCACCTTGGGTTACAACTCTTGATAACTTTTGTAAAAAAGTGAGGGCCAGCAGTCTTTAGAGCAGGATGGGGAAACTGTGGCCTTCCAGATGCTATTAGACTCTTACTCCCATTAATCTCAGCCACCATGGCCAATGTTGTGACATCATTCAAAAAATGGCTGGAAGGCCGCAAGTTTCCCATCTGTGCTTTAAACTCTCCCCAGAAGGCTGGATTCTGAACTGAAAATGTTCCACTGTGTGATCCTGGCTAGATACATACCAATATACATGCCAGATCCCCAATGGGCCTAAAGGTCCATTTGATATTTAAATTGTGTTTTATTTCTCATTAAAAGTGGTGTTCTACAAGGCCAATGTCCATTTAGACATTCAATATGTATTCTTCTCCACATTCTGCAGGATGGTGGAAGGATAGACAAGGAAATGAACAGTGCCAATTTCATTCCTAAGGACACACCGTTGCAGATTTCACTTAAGAATTAAGACCAAGCTTCCTTTCCTATACAGACCCATGTTTTGGGGGCCTTTGGGCAAGATGCTCTCTTCCTCACTGCTCTTCCTCTTCCTCACTGCTATCTCCCTGGCCTATTTGCTTGCCCCTCAACCTATGGGCTGATCCAGTTTGCAGACTCACTCGGAGGGAGAGGACAAGGTCCGATGGATGCTGCTGTTCCTTCTCTCCCTTCCTGTTGCTGTTCGTTTTCCTTGTGAGGAATGGCAAACAGGTAGCAAGAGCAGGGAGGAAGAAAAGCAGAGGGTTGGCAATGGGTCCCCTGGTAAGTTAGGAGTCCCATCTGGTACCCAGTGATGCCACTGGGTATCTGATGTGTTGTTGTTGTTGTTGTTGTTGTTGTTGTTGTTGTTGTTGTTGTTGTTGTGTCTGACTCTTCATGACCCCATGGACCAGAGCACGCCAGGCACTCCTGTCTTCCGCTGCCTCCCACAGTTTGGTCAAACTCATGCTGGTAGCTTCGAGAACACTGTCCAACCATCTCGTCCTCTGTCGTCCCCTTCTCCTTGTGCAGCCATCTTTCCCAACATCAGGGTCTTTTCCAGGGAGTCTTCTCTTCCCATGAGGTGGCCAAAGTATTGGAGCCTCAGCTTCACGATCTGTCCTTCCAGTGAGCACTCAGGGATGATTTCCTTAAGAATGGAGAAGTTTGATCTTCTTGCAGTCCATGGGACTCTCAAGAGTCTCCTCCAACACCATAATTCAAAAGTATCAATTCTTTGGTGATCAGCCTTCTTTATGGTCCAGCTCTCACTTCCATACATCACTACTGGGGTATCTGATGTAGGAACCACCTGATCCCTTATATCCCTGCCAAGTCACTACTGGTGGCCGCCCATGGTTCAGATGCATGGCTTGTATCCACAAGGAGCCATTGGGTTGGTATTGCAAGCCCAGTTTTATGAGATGCCTTTCTAGTTGAGATAGACAGCCCTCTCCCCACCTGTTGAACTTCCAGCACCCACTGAATACTTTTTTATTCCAGCAGGCAGCTTAATTGAATTCTGACTTTATAATGTTAACTGATTATACTGAGTTTCTTGTGCATCACTTCGAGATGATGGCAACTAAGCGGTATATAAACTGTCTGAATAAATATATGCTGGCCCTGAGTAGACCTCGCCACCATCTTCCTGTATCAGAGGAAAGGGCTTAGGTATGCTGTGCTCACCTGAACATTGTACTGTAGGAGAGGTGAAACAGACCTTCCTCTTTCCACTGCTGGCTGGCTCTATCTGGGTCAGAAAGCAAAATGGTTCGTAAGTTGAAGAACATCGCCTTTGTTAGGGTGGGGAGATTCTTGTTCTGCAGAGTCCTGGGGAAGGAAAAGTGGGACAAAACAAACCTCTTTACTTTAGAAGAATAAAAGCAAGAGCTTATTAAAGGTGTAGTTTAACCATTCATAAGACATAAGTTCCTTTTCTTTTGTTACAGGCCCAGTTACAAAGTGTAGAATTTAAATCAGGGACAGTAGCAATTAAAGTAACAGTAAGAGGCAAGATTTAGAATGTTTCAGTCATGAACAATGCAATCCCATTGAAAACTGCAACACATGTGACATTGGCTTTCTTATCTGCTGCTACACACTGTGAACTCTTGAAGGACTGAACTCACAAAACTACTGTTAATGGCGAAAGTGTTCAGAGTCTCCCTCTGCTGTAGTCATTTTTCCTAAATACAGTAACTTAAAGCTCCCCACCAGCCCATCTGGAGGAGAAGCTGTCAATGTGCCAGTTAAGGGGCTCTCGTCACATTTCTCAGCAGGAAGCAACAGGAAGCAATACAAAGAGCAGGACTTACAAACAGGAGTTTTTAAATTAATGACACGATCATCCATAGTGCTTTGCCTGAGCTGCAGTCCCATTCGACTACAGCAGCTAAAAATGCCCACAACTGAGATCTGAAAAATACAGGAGGACAACACAGAAAATACTGGACTGCAGCAATTAAACAACAGCAACATCTGGATTCTCCGTAAAAAGCATATGACCAAAGGGTGGCAATTCCAGAGAAAAGGGCTAATGGAGAAGCAAGCATAGATAGCAGTTTGGATGAACTCAGAGGTCCCAAGTGAGCTGGCAAGATTCCCTAAAATACGTCTACGTACCATTACCAATCTTTCCCTGCAACAACTGCTGGAGAGGGCAGGTGTACTTGGGGGTGCATTATTAGTTCATTAATGGCAGCCAATTTGCCACATGCCCTTTTTTGTACTGAACATGAAAGCCTAGAATTTATTTCTGATGTTCACGCATCAGAGCCACTGCACATACAGGCAGGCCCCACCTGGACCACTTTCAACAGTCCAAAGAATTCTAGGAACTTCAGTCTCTTACGGGTTCTGAGAATAGGTTAGGAGACACCTGCTCCCCTCATGGAGCAACAGTTTTCAGAGTGGTTTAACTGTCCCTCTTCACAGGGAGCTCTGGAAATTGTAGCTCTTGGGCTTGTTTTTGTTAGAACAAGTGTAAAGGAACAGGCAGAATATAACATGCTGAGGGAATAAGGCCTTGAGAAGAGACAGAGAAAGGCCCCCACATAACAAGACCCAAAGCTGACAGTGTGGCCAACATTACTGTACGGTTTGGTGCCCTTCTGAGCAGCCACTATCTTCTGTTTACATATCTGTCACATTTGCACCTCATCTTTCCTCCAAAGAGGTCAGGCAGCATTTCTTTCTGTTTTATGCTCCCAACAACCCTGCAGTGTAGGTTGGGCAGGGAGAAGATGTCTGGCCCTTAAATTCCGTAGCAAGGTTCACTACTGAACTGAGACATGAACTCTCCTCATTCTGCTGCATACACCATGCAGCCTTCATTACCCAAAGCTACATCGACTGCTTCTTTGAGAACCATTCTGTTACTGAACACCTCAGAGGACTAAATGACTCTGTTTTTCTTGGCCCGCTCACTGGGAAACTTCCACAAGTAAAGCTTTCACAAGGAACTTGCATCCAGCAGAGCCACTCCTTGTTTACATTAGCCAACATTAATTTGATCCGCTGGTTATGCTTTTACCTAAGGAGGTGGTAATGCACATCTCTGTGATCCATTCAACTGAGGTGTAATAAGAGTACTCCCGATTATTAATATCAGAAGAAACCAGAAGCAACAGGATTCCCTTGTATAGTGTCAACTTCACAATAAAAGAATCATCGGCTGGGGAAGGAATAGGAAACCATTTCTAACCAGCAGGCCATATCCTTATTTCTCCACCCCGCAGGGCCAAATTGTATATGTGGCTGGGGCCACACACCTGTCAATCACCTGAAACCATAGTGACATCAAGTAATGCGGTGCTTTGTAGCCCCTGCTGTCAGAACTTCAAAGTGCAGCATGGAGCTATTTGAAAACCCCTTTACAATACCCCCAAATGACTCTCTGAATCTCCAAAATCAGAAATTTAAAGAGCAGCACCGGACTGCTTGCAAAAGAGCGTTCAAACAGCCCCACACTGCACTTAGGCTGTGCACACCTGTTCTCAGCAGGGGAACAGGCAGGTGCCGCCAAACTGAGCAGGATTGTATTGTCCACTCATCCTGCTGGCTGCAGAAGTCTGCTTCAACAGCATGCTTCCCACAGATTATCCTGCAAGCCAGAGGTTTCCCGCCCCTGAGTTGAGACAAAGAGACAGAAATGCAGACCAGGTTCCAATCTCACCTTTGCTATGAGCTCACCAAGTGGCCTGACACAAGCCACTTTCTGCAAAATTTAGAAATAATTAACCAGCTCCTCAGCTAGTGCCAAAAACTCAAGAGAGTTGGTGCCAGTTGTATCTTGTAGAGGAGGGAATTCCAGAACTGGGGTGCCACCACCGAGAAGGCTGTCCCCCATATTGCTGCATAATAAGCATCAGCTAAAGGCAGGGCAACCAAGAGAGCCTCTCTCGCAGATGCCAGCAATTGGAGAGTTATAACCAGATGACATCAGCTGTTCTCCCAACTATCCAGGCCCAAAGTTGCATATGCCTTTACAAAGCATTCATTTAAGTGCCGGCATTGTAAGGTTGTTGTCAAGCAAGTGCTCAAGTTGTCAAGCAGCATCAGTCCCTGCCCCCACCCAAGCATTGGGCTGTAAACAGAGTTATCTGATGCTTCCAGTCATGTGACTCCAGCTCCATCAAATGAGCATTTATCCTCAGTGTTGTTGTTTTTTCCTTTTCATTTGCCAGCATAAACTCTGAGGTCTGGTTGTTTATGTCCTGCTATTGCCTTCTCCCTCTGCCCTCCCCCTCAGTTTTAAGGGTTTAATGTAGTTTGTGGCTATGCTAGAGACCCACCTCCCCCCCCCCCCCGGTACAAAAGATTAAAACCCAGACACCATTCAAAATTTGAGATTCTACAGGAAGACTCTGGAAACAACAATATTTACAAAGCCAAGCTGCTTATCCAATTCTTCTTGTAAGGACCTTTAAAGTAGGGATGAGGAAAATGCAGCCTTCCAGATTGCTAGAGCGTGAGATTCTTAATATCAGGGTCATGAATTTGAGCTCCACTCTGGGCAAAAAGATTCCTGCCTTACAGGAGTCGAACTGCCCTGAGACCCCCGAGTATAGGGCGGTATATAAATTCAATCCATCTATCTATAGAGGAAGGGATGCGGGTGGTGCTGTGGGTTAAACCACAGAGCCTAGGTCTTGCCGATCAGAAGGTCGGTGGTTCGAATCCCAGTGACGGAGTGAGCTCCCATTGCTCGGTCCCTGCTCCTGCCAACCTAGCAGTTCGAAAGCACGTCAAAGTGCAAGTAGATAAATAGGTACCGCTCCAGCGGGAAGGTAAACGGCATATCCGTGCTCTGCTCTGGTTCGCCATGAGGCGGCTTAGTCATGCTGGCCACATGACCCAGAAGCTGTACACCGGCTCCCTCAGCCTATAGAGCGAGATGAGCGCCACAACCCCAGAGTCGGTCACGACTGGACCTAATGGTCAGGCGTCCCTTTACCTTTACTTTATCTCTAGAGGACCCTTCTGGTCCCTTCTATGATGTTGGATGCCAAGTCCCTTTAGGCCAAGCCAGCTCACTGGGTGACATTAAGCCAAGTGTTGCTGCTCAGCCTAACCTCACAGGGTTGTTGTGAAGATAAAATGGGGAGGGGGTCACCACCTTGAGCTCCTTGGAGGAATGGTGGAACACACATGCAACAAATAAATAGATGGTCCATGGTACAGCGGCTTGGCTTTTGCAAGCACTGTTCATGTAAGAAAGGCACCTACATTCTCATCATGACCTTTTCCGCGTTAGGGTCGTAATCCGGCAGCTTGACTTCAAACATTCGGTCCATTAAAATGCGGGCATACTGGCCAAAGTCTAGCTTGGAACGTGACTCCCAAAGCACTGCTTCGTAGGAATGGGGGTCCAGTAAAACGGTGACAAATTTCCCTGCAGCTTGAACCTGAAATACAAACAAGCCAAGCAAATCACGAAAATACGAAACTTGTGTGTTATTCATTAAAGGAAAGACTCTCCTCCCTGGAAGAGAGGGGAGTGGTTGTGGGCGGGAGCCCGAGCACCGCCCCTAGCAGGGGGCATTAGCCCCCTGACTCCTCCTCTCACCTGGCTGGCGCCCACGCCCCCTTGGCAGGCCTCCAACCAGGTGCCTTCGAGGGGGCGTGTTCAGCAGCCTTTTGCGGCGGTGCCAGCCTCTCCTCGGCCTCATTCTTCTCCGTCCTCTCGTCGTGAGTCATCAGCTAGGAGTCATCACAGTCATCACAGGGAAGAGCCACGAGGTTTGGAGTCGGGGGGGGGGTCTGTGTGTGTGGAGGCTGCCTGGTTCCTGGCTTGCCTTTTAACTTTAGGAGGCTTGCGTGCACTCATTGCTTTACTGCTTTTAAAAACCCAGGCATCCAGGTTTGCCTTGCTGTGTCCTCTTTTCCGTGTAAAAGCCTACATTTAACCTTCTATTTCCCCCCACTCCTGGTGCTTGATTTGTTTGTGCGGTCTGAGTGCGAATTACCTTTCTTAAGCTGCAGCTTGTTCCCTTGCCCAGCACGTGCCCCCAGCGAGGTCTGAGTGTGAGTGTGGCTCTGTCTTTCTTTCTCCCTCGTCTCCTCGCTTTCCTTCCCCTGCCTCTGCCTTGGTGGCTGTGCGTTTTTATTTAATTTTTGGCCAGGGTGCTTGTACGTTTTCCCCTCTATTGCCCTTGCCTGTCCAATTGCATGGCTGGTCTGGGTGACTGAGTGGGTTTGCCTTACATTTAAATTTGTTGGCCAGGGTGCTGCTGCGTTTTCCCTCTCCACTGTCCTTGAGAGCCTGGATAGCTGAGCATGGTGCTGATAATGCCAAGGTTGCAAGTTCAATCCCTGTATGGGACAGCTGAATATTTCTGCATTGCTTGGGTTGGACTAGATGATCCTCAGGGTTCCTTTTCCTGTTCCTCTCTAATTTTAAGTCGTGTGTGTGTTTGTGCCTGCTGTTTATTGTGCCTGCCGTTTATTGATTTGTGTGTTTGTGCCTGCTGTTTATTGTGCCTGCCGTTTATTGATTTATTACTCTTCTAGCGTGGGTTTAATTTACCCTGCAATCCCTTCCATTGGTACCACTTAAATCGGGAGCCCCCTGTAAAATTTTAAAGGCTGTCGGGGCTTGGAATAGACTGTGCGCTTAAACCTCACCCCTCTTGGTTTCTCTAAGCCAACCCCCCCCCCCTTCGCTTGATGTTTGGGGGAAGAAATAAGGCAGGGCTTGGGGTGGACAATTCAGGGTTTTTCCCTGAATTTCCCTGCAGCTTGAACCTGAAATACAAACAAGCCAAGCAAATCACGAAAATACGAAACTTGTGTGTTATTCATTAAAGGAAGTGGAAGTATAAATGTGGCCATAGAAATAAATGTATCGTACACTTGCTTTCCAAATCCATGTTTAACCAGTAGCATTGTAAACCCCCAAGAAATAAAAGCAAATGCAATTAGGTGCCATATATTTATAGCACCAGAAACGAAACAGCTGCACCGTGAACTTTCCATTATTCCCTCTTGGGAAGGTTCTTAAATGAGCCAATATGGTTCCTATCAGCTCCATGTTCTTCCCCATCACAGCACTGCACTGGGAGGGGTGGCTCCTCTTCTCCCTGCATGGTGTTGTGATGGGTGGGAAAATATCTGTCACTGCTCTCCAGAGACTACTCTGGGAAGAGGAGAGGTGACGATTCCCCTCTCCCAGGTCAGCACTGGGCTTGGAGGAGAAGTTTAGAACCTCAATCCCATGCTGAGATGCAGAGATCTCCCCAAATGCAGCACTGAGCTTGGTAGAAAGATTTAAACCTAACCTCTCCAAGACCAGCAGCACATTGCAATATTATATAATTAAGGCTTTTGATCTTTGATTTGCTTGGAAGAGGATAAAAGATTCTCCAATTTGTTGATATTAGACAGAAGAAGGATCTCATTAGCCACTGGAGAGATGTTAAAAATCTTTGGACGGTTTCCTAGAATCTGTGTAGGAGCTGTGTCACACTTTTAAATTTGGAAATCCGCCATGATGGAAGTCAAGACCGAGCTGCAGAATTACAAATAGCCATAGGGGGAGGTGAGCCTTTAATATTTGTATTTCCAGTTTGATTTGGTAAATTTCCCTTGGAAAGGCTAATGTTTGATGCAACCGGTCTGGAGAAATTAATGAGCGGACGCTTAGACTTGATTTCATCGGAACTGAGTGAAGATGGCGGCTGCCAGCAGCGAAAAGACCTTTGGATTGATTCGGCAGAAACACCAGCATGTGAGGAGATGCTGCAAACTTATAGAGGGGAATCATAGACATAAAATCCACACAGAAACACATGATTGCTTGTTTCACTTGCTTGTGGGAAGAACTCAGAGGCTGTGAAAGAAGGAAGGTTAACAACAGGAAGAATTAGAGGAACCATCGGAAATGACTATGAAAAGCAGAAGAGATATGGGGTGATCAGAACCTGCCGAACTTGAAGCATGGAAAGTCCTATTAAAAAAATTATAATTTGGCAGAATATTTGGATTATTTGATATGTATAATTTGGAATATTTAATGGGATTTGCTTGGATTGTTAAAGTGGAAAATTTAATAAAAATGATTTAAAAAAAAAAGACCAGCAGCACATCGCACAACAGTGTGGCACGTTCCTGTCTGTGTGACATGTGAGTGGTCTGCATGTCTGTGTTAGATAATGTCACAGAGGAAGACTTCTGATCTGCCTTTGGTGCCTGTTTCAATTCTGGTGAGTGTGTGTGCTTTCGTGCGGGTTTATATGAGCTGTATGTGCGGTGGCGCCATGCGTTCCAGCCAGAGCATGTTTTCAGTGGCAAAAGCACCCGCAACCACCACTCACAACTGGCCTTCAGAGAGTTGGCTAGCCCAGAGTCCAACCCCCAGGCTGGAAAGGGGTTAGCTACCTCTGCGATACAATGAATAAAATTCAAGGGTTTCCCAAATGGTAAAACTGTGTCATAACTTTGCTCACTGATTCCTGTGCATAGGGCTGTCGCCATGGGTTTCCCTTGAAGCAATGCTTGAAGAAGGCTGTGGGTCAGCAAGAATGGCTGGTGTTCCCTAATAGTGCAAAATCTCCCTACGAGTTTATTTCTCTCTCTGAAGAATTATGTATTGAGCAACAGGAGGCTGCATAGATGAGTTGTCTAAACATGAAGGAACTGTGTCATTATGTAAAACTGACGCTGCTCTGTGACCTGTAAAGGGAAGATCACATAAAAGCTATCCCTGTGTAGACTATTTTGTACACAAAGCTTCTCACATTTAAAGTTGCTTGGTCATCATCTAGAGATGGTGCCTGGCTTTCGAAAAGCTGCAAGACAGGATGCAGCTGCTTTGCCTTGTCCCACCGCATTGCTTCAATTATCCCGTCACCCACCTTCATCTCCCGTGAGGCAAAAGAAGAATTTTGTTTGCAGGCACAGGCACGAAAGAAGTGGAAGAGGCACAGGAGGATTGAAGGCACAGCAGCTGCATTCTCTCTTGATTTTTGGAGTGTGAAATTGGCTCTTGGGATACAATCAGGGCTTTTTCTTCAACTGGAACTCGCCAGAACTCAGTTCCGGCACCTCTCAGGAGGGCACCATTATAAGAGAACAAGGGAGGTGTTCATGGTTTTTCTAGAAAAACACCACTATATACAATGCATTTGCGTCGTGAATGGGCCTTATGCTGGCTGGTGATAGCAGTGAGATCAGCTTGGGATCCAGCAGATCCTGGGCCAGCTCAGCCCTACCCACCTGTTATGTACTGAGCTGAATCCTAGAACAATAGGATCCAGAATGCAGCAGTCTGATTGGTCCGCGGGAGCCACCCAATCCAGCTCCAGGTGGAAGTGAATCAGTGACCTGATTGGCCTGCAGGAGTGGCCAATCAGGCTTCTGGATGAAGTAAATCAGCAACCTGATTGGCCTGCAAGAGTGGCCAATTAGGCTTCTGGAGGAGGTGAATCCGCAACCTGCTTGGCCTACAGGAGCAGCCCGGAATTAGCCAATCACGCGGGGCCCATTGTGTAAATAATGCATATATAGCTAGACATTTTGGGGAAAGTTTCATTCATTGCTACTATGAGCTGAATAAAGAACATGAAATTCACACTCGATTCCGAGTATATTTCACTGGCGACGAAGGAGGGATTCCACTGAGCTGACTGCCATGCACAGCACCGCAGCACCGCCGCCTGCCGCACTGCTGCATCGCACCGTGCAGCCAGGCTTCAGCTCCAGTGCCCTCCTTCAGGGCTTTCCACTGGGTGGAGATAGTGCCAGTAGACCTCTCATTTGCCCACCTATTCAGAACCAAGTGGAGCTGGGCAAATGAGAGGTCTGGTTCAGCTGGGAGAGCTGGGTGGACAGACACCTCCACTCAATCCAAATGCCCCACAACCCAGTGTCAGAGTTGGATTGGTCTGTTAGTAAAGTACTTAGAGCAGAATGAAAGCATAGAGAGAAATGGGAGACTGGTTATTGAGAGTGAGGGAAAGCAGATCTAGGAACTTTTTCTAAATTTAGACCAGCTTTCTGGGATCACCTGCTTCACAGGACTCAAGGGAATTCTGGGCTTCTCCCACAAAACTAGGGTCTCAAGTTGTCAACAGTTCAGGAATGGCTCAAGACACTGAGATGCCCGAGGCAAAGGACAAGATAGAGATAGTGCTCTTCTCAAACTCAACAGGGCAGGCATTTAAATCTCACTTCAACACTGGTGGTGGGACAGTGTCATCTACCGCAGCAGCTTCAGGGGTGCTGGACTGGCCACCGGGCACACACAGCTCTGTTAGGCAACACTTCGCTGCTTCTCCCCAGCCCTTAGCACAGGGCTCACCTATCTTTTTAGGCCTATGGGCTCCTTTAGACTTGTGAGTGAGTCCCATGGACACCTGCTCTAAGGTCACTTTCTTCCTTACTCCAGTGCACGCACATGGAGACACAGAAAGAGAAAGTGCATACACATATCCTAAGTAATTTGGGTAAAAGTTGGACCCATTAGAATTAATCTGAACCTTGGAAAGCAAATACAATCAAAAGAGAAAGAGGGAATGTGTGTCACCCTACCAACTTCCTCCTTCAGCTTTATGTACTCAAGGGAGACAAAGGTAAATATCTTCACCACTCATGATAAAGAGGGGCAGCTAGTGGGTGGGTAGAGGATCAGAGGCCTTTTAGGCCCCCCAAGGGTGTTATTGTGTCCACAGACCCCATATTGGTGACATTTGTCCTAGCATCTCTCTGCTAAATGCTGCTAATCTCCTGCCCTGCTACAGGCACATCCTCTGACCAACAGCCCTGGTGATGTGGGGAGCAGGAGACCAGGGCCTGAGTCATGGTGGCACCCATTCATCACCTTCAAAAAACAATAATATAAAATTAAATGCTAAGGTGACTCACGCAGAGGACTTGGTACTCACTGTGTAAATATCCCCATGCTTCTTCCTCATGTCAGTCATGAACTTGGCGGCATCTCTGCCAAATTCCAGCGCATGCCCAAGCCAAGGAATGAAACCTTTGTCAAGTGGAGGTTCCCCCGGTTGCCTGGAAATAAGGCCAATATGGAAACTATTAACTATATTGGCATTTAATCATTCCAAACTCTTATCATTATCATTCCAAACTCCCTTATACAGTGGTACCTCGGGATGCGAATGGGATCCGTTCCAGAGCCCCGTTCGCATCCAGAAGCAAACGTAACTAGCGATGGCACATCTGCGCACGCGTCGCTTTTTGTCGCTTCTGCGCATGCACGTGACGTCATTTTGAGCATCTGCGCATGCACGAGTGGCGAAACCCTGAAGTAACGCGCTCTGTTACTTCCAGGTTGCCGCGGAGCGCAACTCGAACGCGCTCAACATGAAGCATATTCAACCCGAGGTATGACTGTACAACAACTACGATATTAATGACATCTATTCATCTTGGGACGCGGGTTCTAGGGACGCGGGTGGCACTGTGGGTAAAACCTCAGTGCCTAGGACTTGCCGATCGCATGGTCGGCGGTTCGAATCCCTGCGGCGGGGTGAGCTCCCGTCATTCGGTCCCAGCTCCTGCCCACCTAGCAGTTCGAAACCACCCTTAAGTGCAAGTAGATACATAGGTACCGCTTTATAGCGGGAAGGTAAACGGCGTTCCGTGCGCTGCGCTGGTGCTGGCTCGCCAGAGCAGCTTTGTCACGCTGGCCACGTGACCCGGAAGTGTCTTCGGACAGCGCTGGCTCCTGGCCTCTTAAGTGAGATGAGCGCACAACCCTAGAGTCTGTCAAGACTGGCCCGTACGGGCAGGGGTACCTTTACCTATTCATCTTGATACATTGAATTATTTTTAAACCCGTAGGTGAAGCATTCTATATCCTTATTCCTCCTGTGTGTGACAATTATTCTGAATAAAAAGACAGTCCTTTATTTGAAAGATTTCTCTCTTTGAAGGGTTTTCCAGTCCAACCAGTCTGCTGGAATAGCTCAGTTGGTACAACATGAGACTCTTAATCTCAGGGTCGTGGGTCCAAGCCTCACGCTGGGCAAAAGATTCCTGCATTGTGGGTATTGGAGTTGGTGACCCTTGTGGTCTCTTCCAACACCACAATTCAGTGATTCTATGATTTATTTAAAGAAAAGGACCACAAAGAAGGGAAAATGGAGGCTTTGAATATGCCTATCAGTATTTAGCACTGTGGGAACAAACTGATGGATTATATTTCTAGTTAAAATAATTATATCACGCAGCTGCAGAAATGCAATGGATAAAAAGACTGGATTACGTTAAAAGAAACTGAAGTGTTAGATCTAGAAGGCCACGATAATAGGTATGGCTGGCACGCGTATTTAGTATACGACAAAGTGAAAGTCCACAGGGGATTTTTGAGCCGTGTGATAAGGAAATCATTATACAGTACAAAATATGGATTAAATACAAAGGAATATTGGAGCCAAAGAGACCCCTGTGGACCTCAGCCACAGAAGCCATGGCAGTTAAAAAAAGAAACATGAAAGGAGAATGGGCGACATACAGATCAGTCTTGGAAGTAGATAAGGATAAACCAACATTGAAGAAATATGAGGAAATTAAAAACTTGCTAACAGATTGGCTACAATATTTCCAGCTACATCAAAGATTAACTATAGATTCAAAACAAGGAATTGCAAAGGAAACATCTAGATTCGAAAGAGAATTAATATTTAACAAAAAGGAAAATATTTCACGAGTGTATGAGTATCTTCTGGAATGGGAAACAAAAGAGGAACAAGTTAAAGCAGTTATGGTTAAATGGGTGCAGGACTTTGGGCATAATATACTTATGGAGAGATTATGGACAACAGACATTAAATTCATAGCATGCTATAATCTCAGGGAAAACACCATGAAAATGGTATATAGATGGTATCTTACTCCCAAAAAGCTTGCTGTATAAAGGGAAAACATCAACCTGCTGGAGATGCGAAAAAGAGGAGTGGTTATTCTATCGTATGTGGTGGATATGTATAGCCATTGGCAAATACAGTGGTACCTTGGGTTACATACGCTTCAGGTTACATACGCTTCAGGTTACAGACTCCGCTAACCCAGAAATAGTGCTTCGGGTTAAGAACTTTGCTTCAGGATAAGAACAGAAATCGGGCTCCGGCGGTGCAGCGGCAGCAGGAGGCCCCATTATCTAAAGTGGTGCTTCAGGTTAAGAATAGTTTCAGGTTAAGAACGGACCTCCGGAACGAATTAAGTACTTAACCCGAGGTACCACTGTACTGGAATGATATTTATAACGAGTTTAAGAAACTATTTAAAATCACCTTCAAAAACCCCCCAGAGATTTTCCTACTTGGTATACTACCACCAGAAATTTAAAAAGATATAAGAACATTGTTTATGTATGGTATAACAGCATCTAGAACCCTTATAGCAAGGAACTGGAAGAATGAAACGCTCCGAGAGATTACAGATTGGCAGATACTCATGTTAGAATATCTACAGTTAGCAAAACTGACGGGATTAGTTAGAGGAATATCGAAACAAACAAAAAAACAACAACTAGAGAATGGATAATATTTAAGAATTATGTAAAACTTTATTGTACAAATAACTCCATATTAGCAGAAATTGAATGATATTTATAAAGAAAAAGATCAAAGGAATGTATACAAAGCAGAAAGAAATTATATTAAACAATGTAAACCTGTGTAAAAAAGAATGTTATCTCAAACAGTATAATGAGAAAGATGGGAAGGATTGTGATGATGAGTACTTTTACTATGTAAATAACTTTGTCTTTTTTGTTTTGTTTTTATTTCATTTCTTTGTTTCTTATCTGTTACTTCCTTATTTCTTCTTCTTTTTTCTTTATAAATTTTCTATTTTATATAATTTTCTCTTTTTTTAACCTGTTAAGAGATAGTACACAATGTTTGTATAGACATGCAAATTTTTTAATCCATAAAGAATTGATAGTTTAAAATAAAATAAAACAAGTTAACAGTCACAAGAATAGGGTGGGTCGTAAAAAAATAAAGATTTCAACTGTAATTTTTTTTAAATAACTATTTCTAAATTTGCGTCTATACATATAAAGTAGCCAAGGCAAAGTTTATGCAAAGCCATGTCTTCATTTGCTCTCTTTTTTGGTAATTCATTAATGGCCACCTTAATTGAAGGTCATCTGCAGTGTCACAGATATTAACACCCCAGGCAGAAGTCGCATTTGCTCTCTTACACAATGCTTTTTCTGCTCAGCTTTCAGACACACAGTAACCACGTGTAATGAAATCAAGTAATGTGCATACTGTCTGTGTTCAAGAGGCCCGTGTTGATACTGCAACCCAATCTCAGTTGTTTACCTATGTCTTAAATCACAGTGATTAGCTGAATTAATAAAAGGCTTAAGGGGAATGGAAATCTACTTTTCTGTTAGCCAAAAACCAGCAGGCCACACAGGATTCTGCTGCTAACCAATAGCTTAGCTTACGTAAACTGTGGGTTAATCTATTCTAAAAATGGATGGGCAGGGTGACATCTTGGCTCCAAACCCTTCCTGCAGTTTCAAAACCAAAATGTTAAAAATACAGCATTACAAAAAGGCATTTATTATTTCAGTTTGATTTGAAAGCACCTCAGGCCTTTCCTGCATTTTGTACGCTCTTTTAAAAGTCAGTAGAAGCTATGTGCAGGCAGGTAAGCATGCTAGATTTTTCCAGGAAAACACTGGAGAAAAAGAAAAGTGGGGCAGAACGTTCTGGAATGGGTTGTCCTCCAAACTCCTGAATTAATTCCTATTTATAGCCCTACCATGGAATCCAAAGCAGCAAACATTTTATTTAATCATTTCATTAAATTTATACGCAGCTTGATTGTTTAAAAAACTTCAAAGTGGTTTACAAGAAGATAAATCAACAAGAAAAATTCACAACTCTACTTTAAAACACACAAAAGTTAAACCTGAAGCATTTTTATTAGGGATTGTAGGGAAAGATCTGCCAAAAAAGCTGAAAAACATCTTCATGTATGTGACAACGGTTCTGGTAGCACAAGAGTTCTGGTAGCACAAGGATGGAAGACTGAAGAAACCCCAACCAAAGAATCATGGCAAGAAAAATTGATGGACTATGCAGAACTGGCAAAACTGACATACAAGCTACGGGACAAGGATAACTGTGACTTTAAAGATGAATGGGAACCCTTTACAAAGTATTTGAAGATACAACAAAGCAAACTGGATTCCTTGGCTGGTTTTGAATAAACATTCACAAACTTTTTATTGATAATAATCAGCTAAATAGTTTGAGGATCTATACAACTGTGTAACATGCAGAAAACAGCATTTTTAGAGAAATCAAAGACTGGAACTGGGGGAAGTCGGGGGTGGGGTTCTGTGGGGGGAGGGAGGAAAAATGGGGGGGAAATAAGGATGATATGTTTCTGGATAATATGTTTTGTTTTAATTTTGAATAAAAGTTATTAAAAAAAACAAATACAAAAGTTAAAATGCTAAAACAGATTAAAATTACCTCAGCTTCCTAAGCATCTGGGAACAAAAATGTATCAGACCATACCCTGGGATCCTCAGACCTACTCAGAGTTAACTTACCCTGCAAGGGTCTTGGGAAAACCAGGACTTTCCATTTTTCTCCCCACAAGAGCACAACCACCATTTTGGGTGCCGTGACCTCTCAATACTTTGCGCTGAAACTTCACCCTTTTTTCAGGGCTGCAATGTTGCACAGTGCCCCAAAATGCACGCTTTGGGGCACAGTGAGAGCATGACCCAGGATAAAGTGCTTCATTTGGGCTTCATGATCTCACACAGGTCACACAACTTGTGCAGGAGCATGGATGGGAAGATGTGCCTCCTGGTTTTGGGACTCAACATGTTGGAGGGTAGGAAGTAAACACAAACTGTTTCTTTCAGAGGACCAAAAAGAAGAAGTGGATCTAACGAAACAGTGGGCTCACTGGGCATTTCCATATCCCAAATGAGGAACTGGACACGGCTGGTTTTCCTAAATCAGAGAGGTCTAGCTTGTTTAGAGTATGGCTAGTTCAGATCACGACATGTTGAGCTACTCTTTCCAAGCATGCAAATCTTCCAGAAGACTGGAAGAAATTTAAAGAATATTTGAATAAATATTGTAATATTAAAGACATGTAATCACTTGAAAGAATCAATTAGGCCTAGGATTAAATTAGGATTAAATATATAAACAAGAAAATATACGATAAGAAAAGTTAGGAAATATGATTATGACTGTGATATGGTATTATGAAATAATGATTTTGGAAACTGCTATATATAATTACTAAGAAATTCAGATGGAAGAGATTTGAGGAAGTCAAATAATATGTTTATGAAGATGGATTTTAATTAATTGTTAGTGTTGGGAAGATTTGTTGTATTTTATGTTTTATATTCTCTTTTCTTTTTCTTTTTTCTGTGTTATTCTTTTTTCTTTATTATTGTCAATCTTTTCTTTTGTTATATTTATGTATAGAAAATAATAAATATTACTGTTTTAAAAAAGCATGCAAATCACCACTCCAGGCTTATTTAGAAGGAAGGGTGGGAAATCAATATGACAGACCCTCCAAGCGTTCCTATTTTCCAGGGACGTCCCTGATTTAGAGAAGCTGTCCCAGTTTCTGATTCAATCCTGGAATGTCCCACTTTTCCTTAGGATGTCCCTATTCTCTTTGGAACAATGTTGGAAGGTATGGAGTCATCCAACCCCCGAGCCATATGAAGGCAATCCAGTTTTTTTTAATGTTTAATGTTTTATTGTGTTTTTATATATGTTGGAAGCTGCCCAGAGTGGCTCGAGCAACCCAGTAAGATGTGTGCAGTATAAATAGTAAAATTATCGTTATGGAATTGGACGTCCCTATTTTCATAGGAGAAATGTTGGAGGGTATGATATGATAAATCAACGAATACATTCAAAGCCTCAAGATCCTCGTGGCCAAAGCAATGCCCACAGACATATCTGTCTCTGTTTAGATTTTTATTGCTGAGTTTTATATCCATGAAACGGGAAAAGATCACAGCCAGAGGCCACAAGGAAGAAGAAGAAGAGGAGTTTGGATTTGATATCCCGCTTTATCACTACCCGAAGGAGTCTCAAAGCGGCTAACATTCTCCTTTCCCTTCCTCCCCCATAACAAACACTCTGTGAGGTGAGTGGGGCTGAGAGACTTCAGAGAAGTGTGACTGGCCCAAGGTCACCCAGCAGCTGCATGTGGAGGATCAGGGAATCGAACCCGGTTCACCAGATTACGAGTCCACCGCTCTTAACCACTACACCACATGAAAGAGATAGCCACCCCATTAACAAAATGAAAAGAGTTAGGCACATGGATGTCAATCTATTGAAGGTCATGAATAATGATAGTGTAGTGGTTAGAGCGTCGGACTAGGAGCAGGGAGACCACCTTGAGCTCCATGGTGGAAATGTGGGATACAAATTCAATATAATAAATAATAAATAAATACATGCAAAGGAAACATACCTCTGAATAGTATTACTACCTCTGGACTTGGAGTTCCATTTAAATATCATAGCTAATATGCATGGAAGATAGGTTTAGTACAGACTCTCATCCTTGCGTTAAAGCTTATCTAGCCCAATGGTAATCTTTCCAGTGGTTATGGACAGTGCATAAGGCCTTTTCTTCTGCCAGTCTTGAATTGCTCTCTATTTTGCCAGCATAGATTACTGTGTGTTCAATTCAAAGTGTTGGTGCTTACCTTTACCGGCCTCGGTCCTGTATACCTGAAGGACCACCCCCATCGTTCAGCCTGGACACTGAGGTCCAGCTCCGAGGGCCTTCTGGCGGTTCCCTCACTGTGAGAAGTGAAGTTACAGGGAACCAGGCAGAGGGCCTTCTCAGTAGTGGCGTCTGCCCTGTGGAACACCCTCCCATCAGATGTCAAGGAAATAAGCAACTATCCTATTTTTAAAAGACATCTGAAGGCAGCCCTGTTTAGGGAAGTTTTTTATGTTTAACGCTGGGAAACCCAGCCAGATGGGTATAATAATAATAATAAATTATTATTATTATTATTATTATTATTATTATTATTATTATTACTACTACTACTACTACTATTACCGCATGCCCTGCAGCACTTATTACTGACAAATAAGAAGATTGTCTGCTCTCTCCAAACATTCACAATTTTCTAAAGCCCTGTCGGGTCCTCAAAAAAGGACAAAGCCCCAAACCTTTTAGCCATAGTTTAGACCCTCAACTCATATATCATTTTAGACTGTATATTTTCCTGACAATAAACCCACTGACTTACTTCCCAAGAAACATGCTGGAAACCGAGCTGCCCGTTTCTCAGTTCCCTATTTTGATTAAATATGATCGCTTGAATTAACGCCTGTACATTGGCATGCCACAACTTTACATAATCACTGCGTTTTCTGGTTTTGGCTACCAGAAAAAATAAAGCAAAGGATGCAGGAATCCTGAAATAAACTGTCTCCCCCACCCACCCCCAGTTTCTATTGTACAAGACAATTTACAAAGAAATACATTCTGTCCTGTCAGTGGGAAAATATGATGGCCAGACATTGTACACTATTAGCAGATGGAAAGAGCATATTATTAATTAACTAAATAATCAAATAATTAAATTTATATCCCAACCTTCCTCCCCATGGAGACTGGGATGGCAAAACAAACACATAATTGTTATTATTATTATTTTTAAAAAAGAAATTTAAAACAGTTCTAATATATTAAAAACAGTTCTAACGCAGAAGCAGACAGGGAAAGATCTCAACTTAAAAGGCTTGTTTATAGAGGAAGGTCTTCAGTAGGGGCCAAAAAGACAAAAAGAGAAGGTACCTGTCTAATATTCAAGGAGAAGGCATTCCAAAAGGTAGGTGCCACAAAACTAAATGGGGAAAGTACTTTTTTTCCCTCAAGGTCCGTCCCCAGTAGTGCATTTAAAAAAAAAAAAGTTTTCTATAACAGCAACAGTAAATAATAAAGTTTAGGTATGTTTATTGAATTTTTAATGATGGTCCAGAAGAACACCATCATCAATGATATAGAAAACTGCTGAGAGATCCCCTTCGCTCTCCCTCAAAGGTCATCCATCAAGGTGACCAGGGCCAATTCCAGGTCAGATCCAGACTGGAATGAGTCCAGATAATGAGAGTTTGAGTCCAACAACATGTGGAGGTTCTCCACCCACTCCGTATGTGTGTGTGCATATGGTATCTCTTTATTAACAACACCGAATTGTACAATATATTCAAACCAACGTACAACTACTCGAAACAAGAAATCACCATCATCAACAACAATTTATTTTAAAATATAATACTACAATCACTAAGGCTAAATACTAAAATACAGTGCTTTACAGGGCATCTAGCAAGCAAGCTGTTTCTCCCCCTTTGCTTCCTTCTTTATTTGTCCTACTAGTTTGGGAAATTTCAATTTATTCCAAGATTAACAAACAGTTCTGAAGAGCTGGACTGGTGCATAGAGGCACTTTGTATGTGCTTACAGGATTTTACATTTCATGACTATTACTCTTTTTTTTTAAAGGGGGGGGAGGCATTCCCCCCATTTATTTTCTTATTTCTGCTTTGTTTTCCCTCAGTGAGACCAAATAACAGCTATGGAGTTGGTGTGATTTTGATTAGGAAAATGGCAGGAGAGAAAGAGTTAACCCTCCCGCCCTCAGTACTAAAGCACAGATACACCCTTTCACCCCCCCACATAAGCACAACCACCCCCCACACCACCAACAATTTTTTTTTTGTTCCAGTAAAACAAAAAAGAAAATAAATGTTGTGAAATTGTATCTTAAACCCCTGTGCTGTTTGGCCCATTCTTTCTTACATGATTTCCTCAATGTCCCATCTCCTTCCTTGATCTTCAATGTGCAAACTGGAAATGTCTTAATCCTCCCATCAACCTCTGCTTTCTGCTTCTCTGGTGCCAAGTGCAAAAGGGAGATGTGTTGCCCAGTTTGCTTGGTAAATTCTTTTGCTGGTTTTGTGGAGCTAGCAGACAGCTGGCCGCATTTCCCCTTCTCGCCTTAGGGGCTTCCTTATGCAGATCACTGGGACAATGACGGAAGCTGACTGCCAACAATCTTTTGAGCAGATAATCTCACACACACAGCATGGAATGGGGCAGGAACAGCTTGGCTCAGTCTTGAAGTGAAATTCACACGGCAAGAGTGTGGTCAGATCCTCTCCTTTCAGTGTTTTCAAAACTTATAGTCTTCTGCCGCCGGCTGATTCTTCCTTATAATACCCATTAAGTCGGTTATGTATACTTTTAAAAGCTCAGACTTCTCAACAAGTCCTGTACTTGTGAGGATAGAATGCATAAGAAGAAGCTTGCCAAACCAGCCTTTGCTGCCCAGTTAAGTACAGTGGTACCTCTGGTTGCGAACAGGATCCGTTCTGGAGACCCATTCACAACATGAAAGGAACGCAACCCGCAGCAGCGCGTCTGTGCACGTGTGGGTTGCAATTCGCCACTTCTGCACATGCATGTGACATTGTTTTGTGCTTCTGCGCATGTGCGAGCGGTGAAACCCGGAAGTAACCCTTTCCGGTACTTCCAGGTCACCGCGGGACGCAACCTGAAAACACGTAACAGGAAGCAAACGTAACATGAGATATGACTGTACCTCAATTGAGCACCACCAAAGAAGTTTCTCTGTGCCACAGAACAAATGGGTAGGCCTGGGGTAGGCAACCTAAGGCCCGGGGGCCGGATGCGGCCCAATCGCCTTCTCAATCCGGCCCGCGGATGGTCTGGGAAGCAGCGTATTTTTACATAAGTAGAATGTGTCCTTTTATTTAAAATGCATCTCTGGGTTATTTGTGGGGCATAAGAATTCGTTCATTTTTTTTCCCAAAATATAGTCCGGCCCACCACATGGTCTGAGGGACGGTGGACCGGCCCATGGCTGAAAAAGGTTGCCGACCCCTGGGGTAGGCCTTCCCCCCACACTCCTCACCTAACTGCTACATAGGAGAACAACAGCCAGAATTGTGAGTGAGTGAGCTGCTGCTCGGTTGTGGACTGTGGGCTGTACTGAAAACCCAAAGGGGAAGCAAGATCCATGAGAGCGTTAATGCTGGGAACCCGTCTTCCTACGCTCAGGTTGTATAAAATAAAACTATTCATTCCAAGGAAATCAAAATCTCAGTAAGTGCAGGTAGCTGCTTGAAAACTGGGTGGGAAGTAACAATATCCACGTCCGCTCTGAATTAAGTCTCATTCACTTTAATAGGACTTACTGAATACAGAATTGCACCCTTACACTTGGCATGTCCAAAGTCCGTTTTGGAGGCCTAATCTGGCCTGCCGTTCAATTTAATCCATCCCCTGTGGCAGTATATGTCCTGGGGTAAAATCCCAAAAAAAGCTCAACTACTTCAGTCCTAAAAAAACCCCAACTTCACTCAGCCCCCACGCATGTTCCCTTACCAAATCTGACCCTCTTTGAAAGAAGTTTGGGCACCCCTGCCTTACACTGTTAACCTGGAAGTAAACTCCACTGAACTAGGTTGGACCTGCCGCAGAGTAGACATGAAGAGGATTATGGTTTATGGGTTGTGGCCAATGCTAGTCCTGCTTAGAGTAGAACCACTGAAATTAATGAATATGACTATCTTAGAGCCATTAATTTCAATGGGTGTGCTCTGTGTTAAACATGCTTTCCCAGAAGTAAGTCTCATTGAACTCAGTGGGAATTATTTCTGAGTATACATGCAGAGATTGCACTGTAAGTGCATTAGGCTACCCATTACCCTGAAAGCTATTTTCTTAAAGAAGGTGGTGGTGGAGGAGGAAAATAGTAATAGCAAACTCTTCCAGGGGTTTAACGTTGTTAACCTGTTGCAAGAAAACTAAGGAAGAGTCTTAAAGGAGCCCTAAGATTTTGAGTTGTTTTAATAAATGATTTTTATTTATTTGTATAGTACCACCTATGTAAATAGCACTTTACAGAGGAACATAAGAAAACAGGTGTCCCTATCTAAATCTTTTCTGGCGTCTGCCTGCCCTGAGCTTCCTTGGAAGCATCAGGAAAGGAAATTCCAGAAGCTCCCTCGACACATAATTCCAGAACAAAATGCTCTTAGAATTGTGGATAGGTAAGAATACTCTGGGGGGACCACACATCAGTGGGAAAGCACATTCCAGGCTTAATCCTTGGCAGGCTTGCTGAAATGTACATCAAGAAACAGCTCGGGGAAACCTTTTTCCTAAGACCCTAGAGAACCTCCACTTATCCGAGTAAACAAATATTTATTTTACATGTTCTTTCTTACTATAAATCCACAATACAGGACACCATCATATACAGCATGCAGTAGAGAGATCACGTCTTTCCCTCTTGATAATGCTTTGCATGCAGCAGATTTATCAACTATGGTATATTTCGAATGGTTTGCAGAGGGTCTTTCTGTCTGTTATGCTGGTGGTTGGACACATCCCTGGCTTCAAGGTGTGAAATGGAACTGGATGGGATAGGGATGCCCTCTATATATAAAAGTGGACTCCTGGGCATTTTAAACTCAAAAGGTTTTATTCAGTGCTAGTCCTACTCAGCATAGACCCATGGAATTTATGAGCATGGCTAACTTAGGTCCATGAATTTCAATGGGTCTATCCCGCATAAAACTTAGTTGACTACAACCCTACATAACTTTGCGCCTCTATCCTATTTACATGCATGCATTGACATGCTAAATGCAGGCCAGGAAGACAATGCGGCTCAAATGTACATATTATCTAGAAAACTTGGAAATGACATTTGGACGGCATGTCCGCGATGCAAATCCACAAACCTATATTTGTATACTACCCATAAAATTGAGTTCTCTAGGTGGTTCCATGCCGGCAAATAAATCTAGCACACATATGCTGGAGGGGTAGCCCTGTTTCTCTGTTGCAGCAAAAGCAACAGAGTACAGTGGTACCTCTGGTTAAGAACTTAATTCGTTCTGGAGGTCCGTTCTTAACCTGAAACTGTTCTTAACCCGAGGTACCACTCTAGCTAATAGGGCCTTCTGCTGCTGCCGCACCGCCGGAGCACGATTTCTGTTCTCGTCCTGAAGTAAAGTTCTTAACCTGAGGTACTATTTCTGGGTTAGCGGAGTCTGTAACCTGAAGCATTTGTAACTCGAGGTACCACTGTACTGTGGCATCTGAATGACTAACAACTGTACAGTATTATGGAACAAGCTTTTGTGGACTACAGCCCACCTCATCACAGTCTTTAAGGTACCACAAGACTGTTTATTACTTTGTCATGCACGTTTATTGATCCTCAAATGATGACTCTTGCCACATGGTAAAGACTGACAGATTGGTTTATGGCATAAACTGTCATAGACCAGAGCAGCTTCATCAGATTAATTAAGCATTATCTTCAGATGATAGATATATCTGTTAAAACACATGCAAACACAGGAGTAACATCCAGCACCCACAGATTATGGCATTATTAAGAGTCTCATGCACTACTGGCTGAGCTATCCTAATGGTGTTCAATCAAAGCATTAAAACACACTAAAATTATTTTTTTAAAAAAAGATACAAAACGAATGACCAACACTAAATGCTCCCCCTTCAATAATAGACCAACTTTTTGATTTGCCTCTTCAATCCTGCCTCAGGTCCAATCCCATTTTATGTATTTCCTTATGTCCTTTTACTTTATTATGCCACGTTGTTCCATTATGGAACCCAATACTGCAAACATATTTTATATACAAAAGCAAAAAATGAAACAGAAAACACGCAACTCTCGAAGGAGTTCACAAAAAGAATAAAGCAATGAAATTATAAGTGAAAGCAGTGGTTTTTTTTTAAAAGGCTATTTAAAGCATTCCAAAATAATTAAGATAAAAAATAAGCTAAAAACTAGGCTAAGACACGTGCCAACATTCTACATGCCTGGATAGGCTTGCTGAAACAAACATGTTTCTAACAGGTGCCAAAGAGTCAATAAGCCGGGAGTTCCAAAGTGTAGACCGCCACGCTGTCACCCTAAAATACCGTCTTCTTACAAATGTTGAAGGAGTATTAAGGGGCACATGTAACAGTGCCCGTTTTAAGCAGTTGAATGGGCATCCATGTGTCTAAGGCGACCTCGCAGGTAAATCTCCCAGGAGAAATGTCCCACATCCAGACCTGGCGAGCTCCAGCGAAGCCGAGTGGCGCTCTCCTGCGTCCTCAGCCCATACCTCGCCTCCTCCAGAACAGGTGGAAGCCGCCGCGAACCCCAACCGCTCACTCACCGCGCTCTGCCGAAGCGAGAAGCCAGCAGCAGCAGCACCAGCACCAGCAGAAGCCCCAGCAAGCCGGCGGTGAGGAGCGAGGCCATGGCACGTCGGGGCAGCTCAGGAGAAGCCGGCGCCGCGATAGAGACCTCCTGCTCTCGGGCTCAGCCTTGCGCGCACGCTGCCTCTGCACGCGCTTTTTGAGTCCCTCGATCCCCGCCCCCGAGGCTCCTCTCTGCCTGCCCCCACCCGTCCAACCGCAGCCTGGCTGGCCGACAGACCGCAAAGCCCTCCTCGAAGGCGGCAGCAGCAGCAGCAGCAGCGCCTTCAAGCCGTCCCACCGCCTGGGAGCGTAGCTCTGCCTGCCTCTCCAAAAGAGGCCGCGCTCTCTCTTCCCTCGGCTCTCGCCAAGGCAGGTGCTGGTGGCAGCCGCCTTCGCCGACCCCCGCCCTCCCTCCAGAAGCTCCAGAAAAGGGAGAAAGGCACAGCCGCGATCCCAGGTGGGGCAGGCAACGTCGGTTCCCGGGCTTCACTTCGTCTCCATTTCGGCGAGAAGAGCCAACGGTTCCAGTGTGCGTCGCGCGCCCAGAGCGCGTGGATGCCACACGAACAACCTCCAGCCTCGCCCAGTGGACGGGTGCGAGGCTGCGATTTCTTCCCGGGAGTGGTTGGATCGCTCTTGGGGTATGGGTCGCACTGGAGCCCTCTCAGGCCTCCAAGAACAAAACAAACAAACAACAGTGCCAGGACCGCAGGACGCACCGTTGGTGCACCGTTCCCTGCGACCGTTGGACGCACCGTTCCCTGCGTAAACGCGTAACCGTGGTAAGCCTTCAGAGGTCTCTGGGAGTGTCCTCAAGCCCAGAGTTGGCACTTTCCTCTTTGGCTGGGTTCACACTCCCGTTTGCACTGAGCTCACTGCATTTCCAGCGCTGGGTTTTCAATCCCTGTTCACACGACCACGTTATCCAAAATGCATCTCTCTCTCTCTCTCTCTCTCTGCTTCATTATAAAATACTACTGTTTCTCAAACCAGCTTCATGTTCAGTCATCTCTAGCCAAGGGGTGAAAATACCTATGTATAGGGTAAAAACATCAATGCCTGTCAATGCTCCCTAGCGTGTAAAGAAACAGAAACAATTTTGACCCTAATGAAGCCATGCTGATGTGAACCCTTAATGGGGGTGAAGGTAAAAGTAAAGGGACCCCTGACCATTAGTTCCAGTCGTGTCTGACTCTGGGGTTGCGGCGCTCATCTCGCTTTGTTGACCAAGGGAGCCGGTGTACAGCTTCCGGGTCATGTGGCCAGCATGACTAAGCCGCTTCTGGCGAACGAGAGCAGCGCACGGAAACGCCGTTTACCTTCCCGCTGGAGTGGTACCTATTTATCTACTTGCACTTTGTGCTTTCGAACTGCTAGGTTGGCAGGAGCAGGGACCGAGCAACAGGAGCTCACCCCGTTCGCAGGGATTCGAACCGCCAACCTTCCAATTGGCAAGCCCTAGGCTCAGTGGTTTAACCCACAGTGCCACCTGCATCCCTTTAATGGGGTAAGAGCTGTGAAATGCAGGGTGGGGTGGGGGACAACTGCACTGCTTTCTGAAGTAGTACTGTGAACATGCCCTTAAGAAAGCTTTGGACAAGGTACTTCAGCAAAGTCTCTTCTCGAGTAAAGCTTAGCAGTTATAGAGTAAGAGCAGAAGTTCTCATAGGGATTAAGTTAAGAAACAAGAAGCAGAGAATAGGCACAGACAATTTGCTGAATGTAGACGGTGGAATCCATCAAGGAACAGTATTGGGAATGGGACTTGTGCTTTTTATCTTGCTTATCTATAGTTAGGGGTTAGCAGTGAGCCAGCAGCGGATTTAGGATGGCATAGGCAGTACCCACACACAGGGAGCTGAGCCAAGGGGTGTAAAATTGAGAAGATTCATATAACTGATAAGATCCATTTTGAGGGCACCAAATTTTGGCCTCACACAGGGTGACATATTACAGAAAGATTGTTTGCCCCTGAGTGAGGTAGTCAAGTTTGATGGCCACCAATTTGGATTGCTTTAAAAGAAAATTAGTCAAGCTTATAGCAAAAAAATTAAGGTAGGTAGCTGTGTTGGTCTGACACAGTCAAAATAAATAAATAAATTAAAAAATTGTCCAGTAGCACCTTAGAAACCAACTAAGTTTGTTCTGGGTATAAGCTTTCGTATTTGAAGAAGTGTGCATGCACACAAAAGCTTATACCCAGAACAAACTTAGTTGGTTTCTAAGGTGCTACTGGACATTTTTTTTAAAAATTAAATTATTGTGTTGCTTGATTCTATGGACTTTCACTTGTAGATGTTGACAAATTCAGTGAGATTTGTTCAGAAGCAAGCAGGTTACCAGACTGCAGCCTTGTTTGCAGTGCAGTGGATGAATTACAGAGAAAGTCATTATTCAGTAAATCCTCCCTCCCCATTATTTTTTAGATTTTTTGTTTGTTTGTTTAAAGTCTGCAGAACAGATGTTTAGCGCTGGCTCACCATTCACCCATTCCTTATTTTTGCACTTGACTTAAGTGATTTCAGATGCATTTCAGAGATTTTACATTGTTATCCAATTCCTGGTTTTATATACAGTATCTTGATATATTCCTCTCTCTATTTATTTTTACAATCACTGCTATATTTTGATATGATGGCACCAGTGTGTGTTGTAGAAACAAATACCTGACCACCAAAAAACCCCAGTCTCCGTTTGAGTTAATGTCCTCCCTTTCTTGCCAAATGCAAACTGTGACAATGTCCTGGTTGCAAGTTGTTACTTGTGTAAGCATGTCCAGATGTTCAGGACTGGCTTAGCAGTACATGGATATTACAGGATAATTCAACTAAAAGTACAGGAATGCAGGAAACTGTCTAATGATCCACCTAGTCCAGTATTGTTTACTGCAAAGGTTCTCAAACTTTCCACCCTTAGGTAGCACTTGAGAGGGTCAGGTCTGAAGCTCACCAGTCACAAAACAGTAGTGCAGGGACAAAGACAGTAATAAAATGGCAGAGGATGGAGATTGAGATTGGCATAATTAGTGGGCAATGACTGGTGTTTTCTCAATATCAATATATAATAATAATAATAATAATAATAATAATAATAATAATTTATTATTTATACCCCCGCCCATCTGGCTGGGTTTCCCCAGCCACTCTGGGCGGCTTCCAACAAAACACTAAAATACAATAACCTGTTAACCATTAAAAGCTTCCCTAAACCGGGCTGCCTTCAGATGTCTTCTAAAAGTCTGGTAGTTATTTTTCTCTTTGACATCTGGTGGGAGGGCATTCCACAGGGCGGGCGCCACTACTGAGAAGGCCCTCTGCCTGGTTCCCTGTAACTTGGCTTCTCGTAGCGAGGGAACCGCCAGAAGGCCCTCAGCGCTGGACCTCAGTGTCTGGGCAGAACAATGGAGGTGGAGACGCTCCTTTAGGTATATCTCACTTCTCTTTAAGAATGACTAAACAATTACTAATTTATTTTACAGATTTTCACTGTAGCAGAGAGTTCCAATGTTTCACTTTTCCTGAACTAATTAGGATGGACACTAATAGTTTTATGATGCAAGTAATAAATAACACTAGGGTTTTGTTAGCGTTCATTGTTTTAATTTTTCAGTTTATTCACATTTTTGTGTGCTCTGTGTTATTTCATGAGTCACATGTATTCAGTTTCTTGATTTTAGATGTATTTATATTATACAACTTGGTAATTTTTTTATTTGTATAAAAAGAGGCATAAATATTGTTTATTTTTAGTAGGTGCCATATTCCATTAAGATATTTTTGTACAGCATATGCATTAGTTTGTATATATTCTTCTGGTCCCAGTTTTTCTTTACTTGTGGTATTAATACTCAGCCATCCTATTTAGGCAAAAAATCCTGATCCAGATAGTTTAAGTCAGCGGTAGCTAACCCCTGGACCATTGGTCAGAACCCACCAATTTTTGTACAGTGGCAAAAAGGGCAGGTGGAAATGTAAAGCATTGCTGGAGTTTATGGAAAGGTTAAAATGGAGTTTTAAACTTGTCTGTGATATGGATGGCAACTGCCCTCTCTAGTCATCAGATTGGTCATTTGATCAGTGAGAGGGCAATAACCTTCTCCTTAGCTACACCTCCCACCCCATTCCTGTTGACCCAAGTGTTGATCAAGGATGGATGAGACCTTTTTTTTTGTCCATGAGCTAAAAAGAGGACTGGCCACCTGACCTCTACAGTAAGCAGAGGCTTTTGATTTTATATTTCCTCTCCATGCCACATTTCTCTCAAAGTAATTTCACTCATTTCCTGCTGTTTCTTCTCCCCTTTTCTTTTCATGCTTAATTTTCACCCTATTCCCACTTGCAACCTGCTGATTTCTCACACTGTTTACTCCTCTCCTACAACTTCTTCTTCCATTTTCCTTTCTTTCTATTTATTACATTTCACTTGCACTTCCATGCCCACCTCCAAACTCCCAGTTTCTCATTTCTCCTCCTATTTTTACACTCACTTCTTCCTCCTATAACAGCTTCCTTATCTTATCAATTTCTTCTCTATTCTCAGTTATTACTTTTTAAAACATCAACGTTTTATTTCTCTTTCTATTTCCTTTCAATGCCTTTTCTGATCTTTCCCACTTAGGTGAGCAAGAAGAGACCTCCTGGTTCAGCAGGAAACTGGAGTGTAGAGGACTGGACTATGGCCATGGTTATTGTTGCACGCTAAAACTAGTAGGATACAAAGCAGGGAGGCCAACAGTAGGGGGAGCCAGAGCCAATGACAGTTGGAACCAACTCATTCTAGCTTTGTCCCCATCCCCTTCCTTGTTGAGTTCTATGAAGGAGCAAGATGCCGACAACCAGTACCACCCTCTGGACTGGTTGTAAGAAGGCAGGCAGATAGGGGCTGGCTGAGGGTAGGCTGGGGCAGAGCCCCATTCCCCTCTGATGGACAGGCCTGCTGTGGTAGATATGAAAAGTACTATTTGAAACTTGAAGGTCTGAAATCATTCTCCTGTACAGATTCATTTATTTGTGTGTGTTTTTAAAGAAATTATATTCTGCCCTCTTCATGGATTTGCATTGCTAAAGATGACTTAAAACAGTTAAAAGCAATAAGATCAAAATGATTTACTAGTATTTAACATTCTGATGCTGTCATCCAGGTGTGCAAACTGGAAAAGTATCTTAATGGGGGGGGGGGGGAATCCCCCAACTTTGGCCTTGTTACTGTATTGTATAGAATAGATCATTTTCTTGTATATGGTATTATCTATTGTCATTTTGATTTGTTTGATTTCTATTTTTTATATTTTTATTTTTGCTTTGCAACTTGTGTTTTGTCTTCCCAAAATTCAGCAATTTGAAACTTATGGCTTTTCCTAGACTAAAGATATAGCAGTATGAGGTAACTGCATCTATCTCATTTCTGCTTCACACAGTTAGCTACTGTACTGGGTGTTATAAAAATAAAGCAGCAGCCTCACTGAGACATTTGTAACACAAATAGTGCATTTGCACATTCATGCTCTCGGATTTTGCTTTGCTTTGAATAGCAGATTTGCAAATAATAGATGCAGCCAACTGGCATCCCCAATATTTTGGCAGCTAAAAAGGATAATAATTTTAACGTGCAATGTGGGGAATTTGGCATGTGCAGATAGCTCAGCAATAAAATATCTTTTTAAAAATCCCATTCACTGCTCAGAAATTGCAAAACAACATGAAGTAGCCCTGCACTGAAAGCAGATTCCACCCTCAAAAGTACTTTTATAAAGACTTATCTCCAGGTAAGCAGGCAGAACAGAGGATGCCTGTAATTATTATTTTTTACAGTTGTCTCTTTAAAAGAATTTTAGCCAGTTCAGCTTTTCCCCACTCCTGCATTACTTGCTTTATCATTCATAAATGTACATGCTACTTCATATAAAAAAGAAATCTCTAAGTGGTTTACATAAAATATAAAATTTAAGAAATCAATTTGAATCCATATAAAAATACTACAGTGAAATTAAACTTGCAAACAGCTAAATAAAAGCAGAACAAAACTATATAGCATAGATCAATGTTTCTCATACTGAAGCCTAGGGACCATTAAGTGAGGCTCAGCTCACTTGTAGGTGGGCCTCAGCACGGCAGTCCATCTCCAGGTCATGCAGTAGCTTTTGGTTAGACAGACACAGAAACATCTCCAAAACTAAATGCAGTAAACTGGCTTCTGGAGGTGAATCTCAACCAGCTTACACCCACAAATATTAGCCTGCTTCAGCCTTGTGGCATCCACTGGTTTCCGAATGCTAACTCCACCGGCTTCCACCCACCAACATCTGCCAGCTGCATTCCAGCTGTGATTCTGCTCTGCAAGTGAACTTGCCTTATAATTGTTGGTGGTAAGGGAAAAAATTAGGTATAAAAGGAGAATTCCTGGATGCCAAGATCCAGGTTTGGGGCAAGCACTCTTTGGCGAAAGAAACCCAGCAGAGATTAAAAATCTCAAGATATGCAGCAAAGCAAAACATGGAAATATAGGTTCTTGGACCTTTAAAATATGCCATTGTGAGTTTCAAAGTTTTCCATACAGCATTCAGAATAGGCTGCACAGGAAGTAAAACTTGGTTTGGTTACGGTAGTGAAAGTTCCTAAATTATTGGTATAGGAACCCAATAAAGGCTTATCAGTGCCTTTGGTTGCTCCAAGCTCAGACCTCTTTACACACTGAGCTTCTCTGGTAGATTGGGAGAAAACAATAGGCCTGGTTGCCTAGTTCCTCCCAAGGTGAGCTAAGCCTGGCAGGACAGCTTACTCTATTATCTTAACCCCTTCATACCTTAACTAGACTTAAGCATGTTGGTTATATGGGGCTGGTTATCCTGCAGTTATCGCTCCATAGCATCCCACAGCTGATTGCATCCATCCACCTGCCAATTGGCTCTCTCTAAGTGAGGGGGGATCTGTAATGGAGGGAGTGCTGGAAACAGAGAGTATCAGTTAGCAGAAGGGGCAGGTGGAACATGGACAAGCATAATCAACACATCAAGAATAATTGTTGATTGCT